TTCTTGAGACAGCTCATAATATTTTATTGTGACTTAAATGTTGTCGCTTTTGGAAACTTTGTTGTAGCTGATTAGAAACCCATAGGAGGCCACAGCTGGATGTGATCCAGTCAGAACATACAGGCAAGATGAGGCACAGGAGGATGAACAAGTTTACACACAAAGAGAGAGAGAGGAAGAAAACTTGTCCCACGATAACAATTGTTTGACTAGAAACAAGATCTACGTTTTTAAGCTGCAGAGCAGAACGACATCCGTTATAACACCAGGTTAGGCAACATGTGACTCATGAAGATTTCAACATGAAACAAAAAAGACACTTTTGAGGACACTCTACGACATCTTCCCTGACTACTGAAAATGTCTTTGCAAGAAATTACTTCTTTGTCACTCAAGAAATTTAGAAAGACGAGTACAGCTAGTTCACTAATCAAGAACAACAGAGATGTCTTATTGTACATTCACAGTTTCCCCCGGTATATTACGAGGCAGGCAGGTCAACAGGTTTCACCCCAAAAATGATTGTTCAGAGTCAATCTGATGTTGACATTCTCTTTAGTTTTAATATGTTGAGAAAAATCACACAGGAGGAAACACTTTTCATACCCAATAACAAATGCATTATAGGTAAATGTTTCTGATTAGAAAAATCTTTGTACTAATAACATGACATAACTGAGGTTACATGTGTGGCACCAAAGTGTTGCTCAAAGGTGATAAGTTAGGGGGATTTTAACAAAAGTGTACTTCTTCCAACCGTGCTACAAACCATTATTTTCAATATCAAGTCATCTTCTGCTAAACTAGATGACCATTCTGAAAGGTTAATATTGCAAGTGTCAAGTTCATTTGCAATAACTAACTAACTAAAAATTAACCAATAATTTAGTGGACCTTCATGACAACATTTTATTATCTGTGCAACTTGTGGTCCAATACCTGAGACCAATACCTGCTACACAGATCAAAAGAATCAGAACCAGGTTTTTTAACCTTATGCATTCTGAACTTTTTCAGGCCTCCTTTCATAAGCAGTTTTCTCTGAAACTAGATAAAAACAGCTCTTCAACAGTTTATCATAAAATTAGAGGCTTGTGACTGAGTAAGTAAACGAGGCCAAGGCTCGTCCTAGCATCTGGAACCGCCTGCTAACACAAACACACACACACGCGCACACGCACACACACAGAGATCTTGGCTTGCTGTAGTTCTGCTCAACTGGAAGTTGACAAACTCAAAAAGTGAATAAACAATCAAACCCACAGTCAGGTTCCTGTGTGGAGAACACCGGGAAGATCCCACAAAAAAAACTGAAAACTACATGAACAACAACACAAAACCTCATCCACTGACATCAAGTCTTTAACTACATATGAAAAATAAGTTTCATCCTAAAAGGCTTTAAGAACAACCATGTGAAAAGACAGACCTCTAACCACTAGATCGCTAAAATACTTCCTTACAGCTGGAACTACAGGACAGTTGATTTGACATGCCTCCCTGAAGTTTTAAATAGGGCTGTGGAATAAAATCTATTTTTAATGGATTGAGATCATGATAATTCTGACAAGCTACAAAACTGCATTAAGTTTTTGTTAGATTATTCCTCAAGTCTTAGAAATGTGAAAACTAATCAAAACACGATATAATATTTTTTTGTTTTGTTTTGTTTTCCAAACTTCTATCACCTGATTCTATTGTTTGCTAAGATAAACTCAATGACATCTCAGACCAGACATCTGAACAGTGACGTAAATAAAGTCTGGAAGTGAAACTTAAGTAACACTGAAAACTAAACAATGTGCTGTTAAATCAGGTCACTGGGCAAAAAAACATAAATGGTGCCATCTCTAAATGAGTATTGATATCTATAATATCCCAATAAATCCTAACCTCTCTAATGAAGCTGATGAATGCCTTGAGGAACAGCAATTACCTGACTGCAAACTGGCACTTCTCCTCCACCATCCTGACCATGTGGGCAGGTGAACTGGGACTTATTTACCCAGAGATAAACAACAAGAATCTAGTGATGCGTGTGCATCTTGTGTAATCTGACAAAGGATCGCCCTCCAACCATTTGTTTCTGAACTATAATTTTGTAATTTACAAACAATGAATGCAAATTACTTTCATCGTTTGAACGTTTCGCCCTGAACCAAAAAGCTGACATTCAGAGACCACAGCAAACAGTGTTGCCATCGCACCAGGCTGGATTACAGGTTGAGCAGTCAGTGTTTCTGCGATGTTCTCTGTCTGGTTTTGCGCTGGACATCACAGTATAAAGTGGGAGCCATTTAAAACATCGGTTTAGGCTCCGGTTCTGTGTTCTGTGTGACGTTCTCAAAATGCGAGCGCTAGCAGCAGTTAGCTAGAAGCTGCTAACGCAGGCACACCCTGCAGCTGCCTAAAAAGCTACGTGTCCCATCAGCGCTAATTTACCTCCTTTTTATCCTGCAGACACTCTAGTACCGCCAGGTTGTTGTTCCAGGAATGTTTCGGACAACGCCGGGTCAGATCCTCCCGACATACCGCCTCATCAGACAGCTTCCAGCCGGTAGAGCGCCTCCGACTTAACGAGGCCCCCGCTGCCTGGTTCCTGTCAGCGGCTCCCATGTTTGCTCCGGGACCCAGACCTCCTGCGGGATTAGCGGGGATGTCTCCAATAGCACCGAGCCTGCCGACACCGTTGGTTTCACCTCCACTAACGCGATGCGCCAGTGAAAAGATGCACATCACCAGCAAAATCAGAGGAACACGTATACAGTCCGCCATCTTCACTGAGCCACTCACCCGACTGAGACGTTCAGGAACGCTCGGAGAGATTGGAGCTGAGAATAAAGGCGTCGACGGATATTCTTCTGAATTATTCATGAGTCCTGTTATTTTATTTTTTTATGGAAGTCCGTTTCCGCCACCCTGTTTAAAAAATAAATAAATAAACAAATAAATAAATAATGTCATTATGAAGGGAGAGTATCTCGTTATTTCGAGATTTTGAGATTCTATCTCGTTATTTCGAGATTTTGAGATTCTATCTAGTTATTTCGAGATTGTATCTCGAGATTTCGAGATTATATTATCTCGACTACAATCGAGATACAATCTCGTTATTTCGCGATTTCGAGATACAATCTGGTTATTTCGAGATACAATCTGGTTATTTCGAGATTATATCTTGTTATTTCGAGATACAATCTGGTTATTTTGAGATACTATCTCATTATTTTGAGATTCTATCTTGTTATTTTGACATACTATCTCGTTATTTCGAGATACCTTCAAGCTATTCCGAGATACTATCTCGTTATTTCAAGATAGTATCTCGTTATTTCGAGATACGTCAGTATGACATACTTTTGACTGATTTATGACATCACAGATTTCTCATACAAAACTGCAGTGATTTATTTTCCTCTCCAGAAAGCTTTCTCATTTTGGAAAATGAACAGGTTAAATCACAGGTGGTTTTTACGCATGTTATGTTTTTTGACTTTTATTTTCACTGGAGTGTTTTATTGTAGTTTAATTTGGTAATTTCAGAGGAAGTAAAAAGTGGCTTAAATTTTATGATCCCGGTGATAAATTAGATTGCAAATGTAATTTGCAATCCTTTGAGAACTGTTAATTAATGTTTTTTTTGTCTATTTCTCATATCTAGTTTTAAGAGTTTTGCTATAGATACAGAAAAAAACACATGATGCAATCACTCATGTATTAGGAGCCCAACCACATGCATAGACATGAACACCATTTTATAACATTCATTTTGTTTGCTCTTATACATTTCAATTTTCCAAGACATGGAATTCTGGACTTTCACTATTCTAAAGCCATGACGATCAAAATTGCAAGAAATATTTCACTTTATGTATAATGAATTGAGTTCCACATTCTGATATGATTGAGGTAAAAAATACAGAAAATTTCCTGATTTAATTTTTTAGCTAAAAAAATCTGAGCTAAATATGTCATTTAGCTCATATTGTGTCTCAATTGAATATATGAATGTCTGAGGTGAAGTGGGAAGATGACACACCAAATTTAGTTGATCAATGTGCCAGCAGTGGCCATTACCTCCAACATGAGGAACTTATCCATAAGAAGATATACAACTTGTTTTAACAAACCTTCCTGCAAACACACATAGAAAAATCTGTTTTCCAGTTAAATAATTAAAAAATAACCCAACATATTACTTTGAAATGGTAATGGTATAAAAGAAGAGAAAATGTCTGTGAAGTTGGGGCTTATAATACATTTCCTCAGAACAACAAACAGTAGTTAAGTGGTGGATCTGATTAACTGTACTGAGTCATTCAGTAGCGGCTTATGCACCATGATGTGATAACGTATCTAAATGACGGTGAATGTCAGTTAAACTCAATGAGGAATATGACACTCTAATCCACTTTAAGCAATAAAAGAGCTCCAAGTGTTATAAGCCCCAAGTTCACTGAACCACTTCAGACTCATTAAGATCAGCAGATAGAGTTGCATCTGATATACCTAAAACATTAGAAAACATAGTGTGACGAAGCTTTGTGTTGCATATAATGCATGCTCACTTTATGCACCTCTGGTTAAATCTTTCTGTGATTAATTCCATAATTTATTTTTGTATAAATTCGACATTTGTCCTTGAAATTACATTTCTTGTGTAATTTCAAGGACATTACACAAGAATAGATAGATATCTTTGTATATCTTTAATACCAAGATATACATGGATATGTATTCAATTTGAGGACAATTTGTTTCCCAATGTAGATAGTCCCAACCAAGCAACAGTCTACAGATAACAGATGGCTTCTAGGACTACATGCTTAGAGGGAGAGGGGACTTACCATATTTAATGTATTATGATAACCAAACTTATGACTTACTCTCTGGGTAGGTCCTGAATTTTAAATGTGTTAAGAAAAAATTATGTTCAGACAGCAATGCTGTCAAAGACCCTGTAACAGACTTCACAAAACAGACAATTCTTAACGCCAGAGTAAAAAAAAAGAAAATGCTTTTTTATTAACTCTGAAGTTGTACACAAACAGCTAGTAAGAAATATACATGTAACTTTCCTTAAAAATAGAAGTTTGATTTATAAGAGTGGAATTCCTTTGGCACTTGAAGTTTCTGTGTGATGAACGTGTGTAAAACAGCAGACCTTTGCCACGACTCTCAGGTTATCCAGTTAGGAATGAGTGATACATACATACATACATACATACATACATACATACATACATACCATACAATTTGACCATATAATACAATCAGATACAATCAGATGGTGATCACAGTTTCTGGGAAAAATGGACATTCGACTTATTTTTTCCTCTTCTTCCGGTTTGAAGTGGCACTATGAGCTAACACCTCCAGCCCCAGGTCTTTATGTCTTGGTTCTGTTTAAATGTTGGAGTAAACATCAAGATCTCTGGTTTTAGAGAGATTTTGACCATAAACTGACAAAGTTTTACATCAGGTTAAAAAACCTGAACAGATATTATTAAAATTTACCAAATCTGGTGCTCACTTTCAATTTAAGTGAACTGATTTCATATTTTATTATGAGTATAATTAAGCAACTGAATTATATTTCTAATCCAGCAGTGGGTGTCATAATCAGAGCAGCCATTATACTTCTGAGATTTCTTGGATAGATCAACTGAAAGAGAGACGGTGAAGTTGATGTCAACTGTGATGGACACGTTTCTGATTTTGATGCTAGTTGCTAACAAGTAATGTATCTAATGGGTTTGTCAGTAATCTGCATAATTTCTAGAACCGCAGGACAAAATGTTTTCTCAAAGCTTTGACTTTCATCAGAACAAGAACAGAAGAACGTGATCTGTGGCTGAGGAGCTTCAACAGAACTCTGGAGGAGACTCACTGGAGGTAGTGTGCACTGCTTTCATACAACCTGGTATGTAAACACAACCTTATCACACCAACATAAATCTGCAATTTTGGCTGGAAAAAGAAAAGGAACAGCGAAGGTAATCTGACTCAACTCAGCCAATAATCTGTTATAAATATTTAGCAGCATATAATGTCCAACATTTCACTTTCCTTATGGTCTGACTGTGACTGGAACAAATTCATTTACTCCCATTTGTAAAGTTTCACCATCTTCTCTGTGAGAGAGGCCAGAAAGTTCTCTCCATTCGCAGAGAAGGGACTGATGTCCAACACTGGTAGGTCAGCTGGAAGCTTCTGAAGCAGAGAGCCACTTCCTGCATCCCACACCTGGGGAGGGGCAGAGCAAACAGAGTGCTTCAGGAAGAGGAGATGGATCAAAGTTCAGTTGCTTTGTAGTGCAACTCATTTAAATCAGGTTGAGTTCATTTATCCAAAAATGTTGAACTGAAATATGTGTATTTCTTAAAATAGCCTGATTAAAAATAAATAAATAAAAAATTAAGTGTAAACAGGACCTACCATGGTGGAGTTGGAGGCCTCATCCCCAGCACATACCAACATCCCACGGCCCTCAGGATGCCTGAAGATGGTGTTCTTGGTCAGCAGTTTGCAGGATGACCCAGCGCTGAATGTCTGCACAGGGGAGCAAGAGCAGCTGGGCAGCTGACTGGAGTCCAGCTGAGGCGCGCGAGTCAGCGCCATCAGGACGCATCGTAGAGTCTGATGGGAGCGTCCTGCAAGCGTGGACAGCATTTACTGACATAAACAGCCCTAAGGTTCAGAAATATAACTCTCAGGCTCAAAGCACCACAACCAGGTTGTTCATGATGCTGCATGCAGCTCTGTAGTGAGCTGACTGCAGTTGAAGTGGGAGATACTGGGGAATTCAACAAAGATCTAAAACTGTTTTACTTTCAGGGTATTAATGCATGCTGTCAACATGAAGTAACTCTCTTTGACCCCGTCTCTCTTCTCGTCGTAGAGAATGATTGAGCTTTTATTGTATGAGTTCTCCTTCAAAGTCTGCCTCAGAACTTATTAGCTCAGCTGTGTTTCTCTCCTACATGAAGCCTCCAAAGGAGCTACAACTGCAGCCAAAAATTTACTTTTCTTCTAGGCTGGAGAAAAGTTAAAAAAAATTAAAAATTTAAACACATTTGTTATCACAGTCACTAACTTGTGAAAGAATGATGCGAGACAGGTAATTTGTGAAACGACTAAGCTCCTAAACCTTCTCCCTGTTCTACTACCGACATCTGAAGAAAAGCACCGCTTCCTGTGACAAACAACCAATAAGAGCCAGGAGAAGGGTCTTAGCGCTGCCAATCACACTGTGTACACACAGCTCAATGTGCTAATGGCAGGGAAATGTCTTACCATTCAACAAAAACTGTTAATTTGCAGTCATCAGCCTGAGCTTTTACAACAGGCTTGGCTATGAGGAAGAAACTGTAGTGTAACAGAGGCAGGGAGTGGAGGAGTATAGAGTGTATAAGCACGATTGACAGCACTAAGACCCGCCTCCTGGCTTTGATTGAATGTGTCTAGTTAGCACTGGAAGGAAGAAGAGGAACTTGATTTATTCACAGTTTAACTGTCTCACACCATACAGTCACAACATCAGAGTTTTAACAAATTTATGAAAAATACATATGTATACATATTGCAACATCAAGATAGATAGTACTCCTGTGTCAGTGCTTCTGTTTTCTTTTTATGCATATCAGTCATGGCAGTCAGCCACCAACACTGAGCCAGGTTCTGGTTCTGCTGCAGGTTTCTTGCTGTTAAACGAGAATCATTCCTTGCTGATTTCACTACATGGATGTTCAGCATGCCTGATTGCTGCAGCGTTAACAACACAATCCAAGCTGTCCACTGTTGCTACCGCTAATTATGACAGTATGAACACAATGTGGGTCTTACCTGGCCGGTATGTGACCAGACAGTGTCTGCTCTCAGTCTCCACCTGGATGTCTGTGCAACTGCCACTCTCTAAAGGCAGAATGTGGGGTCTGAAAGTGGTCTCACTCTCCTGCTCCCAGAAACAAGCACCCTCAAGTGAGCCAGCAATCAGCCCACCACAGGGGAAAGAGCTGGACGCCATGCGTGGGACGTAGCACAACGACGCCACTGGGCACCTACAAACACCACAGATCCCCGAAGTTAGACTGAATACGAGACAGAAAGTTGTGTCCTAATGTGCAGATGCCAATTTCTACTGAACCATCAGAAATATTGCTCAGTGCAGAAAGAGTTGTAATACTTGTCAAGTGTTTTTAGTGAGTTTTTACCTGGAGCGAAGAGGTTCCAGCTCATGAACGTGCGTGCTGGTGTCCCTGGTGTCGTAAACGAGCACGGAGCCGTTGCTCAGACCTGCGTAGATGTGGTTGCTGTTGTCCAAAGACCAGCAGCAGCTCCACACAGGTTTATCCGTCTTATAGGTCTGAACCACCGTGTTGGTTAGCAAGCTACAAAACAAGTTTTTATGAACAAACACAAGAGAAGGCATATTCCTGAAGATTTTGGCTCATTTAGGAAGCCTGCTGTAGCTAAAGCCCCAGGATTGTCCACTACTTGGATGATATCAAGGTGTTTGTTCTTCCACACAGTGTCCTGCTGCACAAGCTGCATCAAATTGTGATTTTGGACTGTCAAGTTTTAAATCTGTGTCATGTTTTCTCATCTGGAAAGCTGATGGAGAATTTGATGTCATCTGTTTAATTCTTCATAGACCAAAACAAAACACCCTGATGTAACTATGGTAATACCAGGGGATTTCAGTCTCCGCTCTTCCTCTATGATACTTTTTCACAACACAATCTGAAATCATCCAATTTAGCTTCAGTGCTTTGCATAGCATCTTTAATCAAAATCCCTTTTAGACCACAGTTAATCATTTGCAAATCCCGATAAATCTGTTACAGAGGTTACCACCGCTTATTTGCATGGCACAGTAGAGACTGCCCTCCTTGTTCTTACCTGGTCAGTTTAACAGTGTTGTCCAGCGCAGCAGATAGCAGCAGGCTGTTGTTCTCTCTGCTGAATGACAGACCTCTTATCTGTTTGCTGTGGATGGGAACGTACTGACTGGCTTTCATGTTAACCAAGCTCACCTTCTTCACCCCACAACCTGAACAGATACACCAGAAAAATACCTTCACTTCTATGTCACTCTTCAGCCCTACTCTAATGCTTTGAATGTTGACTCCTGAGGCAAACTTAAAACAAAAAAAAAACAAGACATACTGCCCCGACAATTAACACAACATCCATGCAAGAGTAGAGAAAACTTCTGACAGACACAGTTATAAGTTGAAGGAAGGTGAAGATTCTTCACATTTGTTTCATCTTCAATATCCCTTTGGTTATGTGATGGTTGTTTTCCACTGGTTGGCTGTTGAAATTAATTTCTCTTTGTAGAATGACATGGCAGAATATTAATGTTTAATCATGGTGTTTTTTTGTGTGTCCACCTGCATCTTTGTGGAACATCCAGCAAATATAATGTGCAGCACGTTTTAACCCCATTGCTTCAGTCACAGTACCACATATGTGATGGAATTATTAGGTTGTCCTGATGTTCAAAATCAGCATTACTGGAGGATATTTGTAACCTAGCTTATTATATTTTTGTAATCTGCCAAATAATTGACCAGTCATGTTTTCTGTCTTTTTATCTGTGTCACAGTTGTGTTGTGTAATTTGCACTTGCAGTTACTAATAGGAGACATGTGAACTATTTCTTCATGTATGTCAGATTATTTATATGAATATTTGTAACATGCCTGAAAAGTTACTGCTTCACCAAGAAAATGTGTCCATTTGTTGCCACAGCACATAGTTATTGTTTTGAACTCAATTTGACACATTCATCTTTGATTTAACCATCAAGCATATGATGTAATAACGACTAACACCTTCACACAGATGAACATGTTCTAGCTACACTGCCGGTTGCTGTAGTATTCAGCTGTTCATGATGTCGACCACAAGCAACTTTTACATTTCCCACTGACATTTCTTCAGATTAATTTCCAACAAATCTCTCTGACCACAGTGCATTCATAAAAGATAAACTGAAGTTCACTTCCTCCAGGGAAGGACAAATTGGTTGGTCATTTGGAATGACTGACAGGTGGCATCATGATAAATGTCTGAGAGCTGCTGCTATTATTGGCTTCATGCAGAAACTGCAGCAGATAAAAAATATCTCATCAATCTGTTTAAGATGATAAAGATCCTAGAGAAGTAAAACGCTAAAAGAAGTAGACGCAGTAAAACAAGTTCTGTAAAATTAACTCCTGATGACACAAGATGGAAATAAGAATGCAGGTTACCAGGCACTAGTGTAGAGTGAGGGGAGGGCTGTGAGGCCAGCAGGCAGCACAGAGGTTCACAGTAGGACAGAACTCTGCAGCCGCCTGTCTGAGACACCAGCACCGCCTTAGAGAAGCTGTACTGAGCTGTCCTGGAGCCGTCTGTCCTCGGAGACATGGAGGAGGAGGATGAGGAGGAGGACGACGACGAAGAGTGTGGAGCCGAGCTTCTTCCAGTTTGGGCCATCAAGGCCTTCAGCTCCTACAAAGACATGTAGATAGAGTCAAAGAGTTGAGTACATAGTTCTAAATCTTATCAAGGTCAGGTTTTTACCAGACATGCAGTTTAAAAACTGGGCTGCTGTTTCTTTATAAAATGTCTGACAAACTGGTTTCTAAGCTAAAACATAAATTGGGTTTCTCTTTTAGAAACAAGTTTCTCACACATTATGAAAAGGTTCCTTTTTGTCATCTTCTCATACATTATCTATTTTTAATCGTAATATTAATAATTTCACATTTATTGATTACTCTGCTTTTCATTTATTTGCTCATATATTGTTTGTTTTGTCTTATGTTTGCAGAGTGTCGCTGAGCAGGATGAGGTTTGACTGTTGGAAAGTTTACTTTGCTCAACATTTGCAGCATTCACATAATTTAGCTCACAAGTTCATTTCCTGTGTGGGGTGAGAATTTGTTTTTTTTTTTTTTTTTTTGCAAAGCTGTAAAAACCACATAGATGCACCCTTACACATGCAGGTGTGTGTAAAGCAGAATCAATCTCCTGTCAGAGAATGCTCTGACCTATACACTTTTTTTTCTGTAATGCAGACTGCAACCAGCCATGACAATCTACTATAACTGAAGAATTTTTTAATGAATATGAGTTGTAACATTTAATTCCCACAAACATTTGTGGTCCATTATTGATTCTGTATTGACTGGTTCCCTATACCAACTTTTTCCTTTGATCATTTTCCTTCTGATGGACTATGGAGTCAGAAATGAACTGGGTCAAAAGGCAATGAAACTCTCTGTTCTTGTCACTGGAAATAATAAAATGATCATCTCTTATAACTCAGGCAATTCAAGTCTATGTTGAAGAACAGAGACATCAGCTCACTGGGCTCCTATTACGGCACTGATGTGTAAAAATACACAATGCATTTGTGGATTAGGTCTTGTACATTTTATGCTGCTGCTTTGCTCTCTTTATTTCCTGATCGATTAAAGGATACATGTTGATGTGTTTTCAATTATCTGCACAATAATTGACTGAAGTGATTTTCAGCCAAAAGCAGTACTACCTGCAGCTCTTGCTGTGCCTGTCCAAATTTGCTGGTGACAACCTGAAGCTTGAGTTTGTATTCTGCTGACTCCAGTTCAGCTTTTCTCCTCAGAGACTGCTCCTGCTCCAAAGACCTGAATACAAACACACCAAGCTTTACAGAAACATAGCACAACATGGAGTGGGACGAATCGAAAACTGAAACAGGCAAAAGACCCAATGATGGCTGCTAAACAAAAACTACACTTCAAAGCTGGATGAGTTTTTCTGCAGTGTCCTTGTTTTTTGTGGAAGTACCAACGCGGCATGGTGGGTTGTCGCCTGCCCACCTGACAGTCTGTGCATGCAGACGACAGTCTGATGTAAAAGTGTAAACAAGACTCAGATCATTTCATGTAGGAAGAATAAAAATGTATGAAAGAAAGAAGCTGAAATATGTAATTACAGGATTACTCAGTCTCTCCAGGAGTTTTTTGCAATTCCTGAAATTTATGCAAAATCAAATCCCAGCATTTTCTGCACTAATGGATATGTGAGCTTATTGCAAATCCTATGCAGAAATGATCAAAAACATTCAGTTTACATGACTTTTAACTTTTGAAATGTCTCAGCTTTCCTCAATGTAAAGTGTCTGACATGGCAAAAAACAAAAATGGAGAATGAAAATATTTTGTGTCCAATTTGTTATTTTTTTTCTCATGTTAGTTCTTGATTTTCTCATCTTTTGTCTTCTATGCATAGAAGCAATCAGTTATTCTATCAATTGTTCTGAAGATTAATTGATTATCGAATAAAACTAAGTGTCACATTCTAAAGCTTTTTCATAATATTTTTATATAATATTAGAATTATATTAAAAGATGAAACGCATAAATCAATAAATACATTTACGTAAGAAAATAAACATTTGTTGTATTGCCTGAAATGCAATAACAATATTCCGTTAGTGATTCTGATCCGACTGAAGCTAAAACTTCAACTTGAGGAATTTTAGCTACAGCATATTACAGACTAAAGTGTGTTTATCTTAAATTCAGAATGTATTGAGGTATTATTTTCCAACTTTCCAACTCTGAAAGTTGTTTATTCCAGCAAATAGCCTTTTTTGAGTCTGTATTGCCCGTTTAATAGTAAATTGATACTAAAGTAGTTGATTATTTCAATTCATTACGATTCATTGTTTCAGCAGTAATATCTACCTCTTCAGGCTCTCCTGCTCAGAGTTGTCCAGGGCTCTCAGCTTTGGAGCGTACAGCAGCACAATGTCTGAATGCTTTGCTTTCTTGTTGCACTGAAAAAACCAAAACATATTAAATACAGGGGGGGCGGGAACCTATAAAGAATAAATTTTAATCATATTGGGACTGTCTTGTTTATGTTCACCTGTGGACATTTAGCAGCCGAGCCCTGAGCCTTGAGCCAGCGCTTGATGCACGTGTTGCCGAAGAGGTGTCCGCAGCGCAGAGCAGAGAGCCGGTGTTCGCCTGCTGTGGTCCACACCTCAAAGCAGATGGAGCACATTTCGCCTTCGCTGTCGCCACTGCGGCTTTGCTGGGATGAAGACGGGGCTGCAGGAGTCAGCTGGAGGTCAGATGGTTACAGTTAGTGGAGGTTCAATGCTACAGGCGGGTCAAAACTGTTATGGACAGTAGACTTTTTGTGAAACATCTGATGCTATAGTTGTATTCCATAGTGATGACATTTGTTCAGCAGACATGTAAAAAAAAAAAAAAAAAAAAAAAAAAGAGACTGGTGCCTCTAAAAGTCCATTAGAGTTCACAACTGTTCTTACTGTTACTACTTTTCCAGAGGTCACAAAAGCGCTCCAAAATTAACTAAAACAAAGCATCATTAAAATAGACGCATTCTATCAGTTTCAAACAAAATGTATATAAGACAGAGAATGATACATGTTAGCTTTATGGGTCACAACTAATTAATATTTGTTATTATTCTGGACATTTTACACACAGGTAAAATATCCTAATCCATCACCATAGCATCAGTAATAGACTAACACTACTGTGTTGCACACCAACATCACTCTTCTACAAGAAATTCTGTGCTTTTCTTTTGTTTTTCATGTGGAAAAAGAAAATCCCTCTCATATGGAGGATTAGAACTTGGAACCCAGAAAAACTGCCTTTGCAACTACTTTTTCGACTCCTAATCTTCCAACCTAAAAAAGGAAGTAGAAGAAGAAGACTTACTTATACTTATATACCAACACTGAATAGCAGTATCTAGTTTATTTACTTTGGATAAACATTATTAGATTTTTTTTTTTCTTTTAAACTCTTTCCTTTGGTTAGTAATTTTGTTTGCATTTCCTTTTAAATCCTGTAAAGCACTTGCTTTGTTGCTGGAAATGTGCTACATAATTAAAATTACCTTTACCTTAAGGACATAATATTTTCTCAATTCATATTTTACAATTTCACATTTCTTATTAAACCCATAAAAATACTTTGCATGTTATCTTTTGATTACAATCAGAAAGTTTCTGCATTAGAGAACATTCAATATCTAACACACTGCAAGGATATGAGGGGGTCCTGGTGCCCATCTCTATTGGTCAACACAGAAACAAATAGGACAAACAGTCATACAAACACAGACAGAATTTAGAGAGACCAACTAATTAAAAGTCATATTTTTGGACAGTGGGAGGAAGCCAGCGTACAAGGAGAAAATCCAGACATGCATAAGGAGAAAAGGGGAAAATAAATAGTTTCATTTTATAAGGATTAAATAAAACATGATTCCTGGCGACCAATACTGAGATTCCTTAATGTTCTAAAATTTTAAACAAAAAAAGAAGAAAAAAAAAAAACACGAGATCAAAATATTGGACATTAACAGGAAAGCTAAACCATCAAGTACCTGGAGGTCCTGGATTTGAGCATCGCCCCCGGCCTCGTTTGCTGCTGCAGAAACAGCTTCGGTACGACCTACAAACAAAGTCACTAAATATTTTACAAAGACTCAGACGAGGAAGAAGAAACAGCCTTTCAAGAACTTAAAATGTTATTTAAAACACTAATTATCAGAAATAATACCACATAATTTAACAAAAACAACTAACATGCTACCAAACACCATCAAGGTGAATTTTTGTCAGTCTTACTGGGAGCTGCTGCTGCTGCTTCTGGTTGAGACTGCTCAGTGGGAGCATTAGGAATAAGAGCGGCAGAAGGTAAATGTAGTGAGGCCTCTGCCCCGGCAGCTGTGCTTTCTGCTGTTTCCTCCTCAGACTCGGACTCACTGGCCTCAGTGGTGCTGCCGGACTCTGGCTGAGTTGTACTGGCAGCTGGAGCTCGGAGAAGGAAGTCTGGAAGTCCTCTGGAAGGTGCTGCAGTCTGGCTGGGGTAATGGACTCTGAGACCCTGTCTGGAACACAAACACAAAGTCATTCCTGCAATGATGCTTTGGACAAAGCACAACAGATGGGAGAAGAACAGTGGGAAAGGTCCCCACCTGAGTGACCTCCGCATTGATACCCCCTGGGTTACTGAAGGCACAGCTGGGACTCCATCTATGGCCCTCTGACTGAAGGCCCAGGTGGCAGGAAGCCTGAAAGGAGCCTGAACCACCTGCTGGGCTCCAGCACCATCATCTTCATCCTCATCTACCTCAGTGCTGCTTCCAGAGTCTGAGATGGCTAGAGGGGCGTCAACATCCTCAGGCTCAGCAACAGCTGCAACCGCAGCACCAGCAACTGGAGGGACCACAGGCGAGTCTACCTCCATGGCCTCCATCTACTCAGAGCAGAAAAACAGGAATGATGACAGATAATTTATCTGTACCTAAACTATGTAACAAAATCACTTAGAAAAACTTCAGCACATACTTAATGTTTGGATTTAGACTATATGTTTTCATTACCCAAGTAAATAAATGATGAGTGAAAGATTTTCAAATCAAAGACGTTGAATAGAAAACTTAAGCTGCATGCATAACACATATTTTGAAAAAGAAAAACAGATCCTCTCCAATTCCGTCAGGTTGGATGGTGAACGTTGGTGGAGCCATTTTCAGGTCTCTGCAGAGATGCTCCGTTGGGTTTAGGTCAGGTTTGGTCAGGGCTGTCAGGAATGGTCTCAGAGTTGTTCTGAAGCCATGCCTTTGTTATTCTAGCTGTGTGCTTCGGGCAGTTGTCTTGTTGGAAGGTGAACCTTCAGCCCAATCTGAGGGCCTGAGCTCAATTTAAAATGTTTTCTTCTAGCATCTCTCTGTACTAAGCCACATTCATCTTTCCTTCAGTTGCAACCAGTCATCCTGTCCCTGCAGCTGAAAAGCATCCCATAGCATGATGCTGCCACCACCGTGTTTCACATTTGGGATTGAGTTGGGCAGGTGATGAGCAGTGCCTGGTTTTCTCCACACAGCATTTAGAATTAGCACCAAAAATTTCATCACACCAGAGAATCTTATTTCTCTCCTGTGTTTTTTGGTGAACTCTATGAAGGCCTCCAGATGTTGCACAGAGAACAGGCTTCCATCCAACCGGCCACTCACAAAGGATCAGAAGAAATGTACATCATATGAGTTGAATAGGAGTGTCAGGAGTGTCTGAATACTTATAAGTTGTGTAATATTTTATTTTTTTCTTAATAAATTTGCAAAACTGTCAACATTTCTGTTTTTTTAAGATGAATGACAGCAAACAATGATTGTCATCGTGTGTAAATTTAACCTCGATTAATTGGATTTTTTTTATATACATATATATTTTCATTTACCTACATCACATTGTAGATCCACGGTCTGGGTCAAAATTATTTCTGGCGACTGGCTCTAACTGCATTTAAAGGAAACAAAATATCTTTTTTTTTGTTTGTTTGTTTGTTTGTTTTGTTCTCCCACAAACGAACCAGACATTTTTAACACGTTTTCTGTTCCGTCGGGTTCGCGCCAAGATGTTTGTTGACCACCCAGATAAGACAAAGGCTTCATGAATTGAACCATCCGGAAACACAAGCCCCAGAAAAGCGTATTTTACGTGATGCATTGTAAAATATGCATATTGTAGCCAAAACTGTACTATGTCCAATACTCTTCGGAAAACTCCACCCTGCAGTCGCCGTGCTGACGGCTCAGCTCTGAACTAAACACCGCGGTCGTACGGAGGCCTGCAAACTGCAAAGAGAGCAGTTGCATTTACTGAAACATTGCATTTTAATCAGGCTCATCTACTTCATATTGTGCCACAGTTAAATGCTTTCTGCATGTTTTTACCTGATATCTCCAGACACTTTTGATGAAACTACTTAAGAATTGTTATGATAAAAGTCCTTTAACGAACACTGCCTTAAATGTTGCGCACTTGATAACGTTAAACACAAGCAGAATTTACGACAGCTCACGGAAGTGAAGTATTAGTATCATGAAACTGTTAAAAACATTTAAGCCTTTTGTTCAGCTAATTAGCTAGCACGAACTGTTGTTGCGTAGCCGTAAGAAAAAACAAAACGGTTGGAGACACACAAACACTCACAGTTAACAGCACTTGGTCCACCTCCGGATAATCCCAATGTGTAACCACATGGTTAGCAAAGGCTGAATTTAGAGGATCCAATTTTTGTGGGTTCGTAAATTATTTGCGGTTCATATGACAGTAAACACTCAGGTCAGGAGTCGAATCTCCCGGCTCACGCGCTCTCAGCCCCGCCCCTGGAGCGGTAAGAGACAATTCTTCTTCCTTTTTTTAGGATTATTTGCCGGTTGTCAAAAAACGCTAGGTGTACATTACCGCCATCTACTGGTATGGAGGTTGGACTGAAACGACTCTAAAAAAAATCTCATTCTGTGTATATTTTTTTCAAATAAGTCAATGTGAGAATTGATCAAATATTGAACTTCTGTGTAATAAATCAATAAGATTTAATTTTATATTCATCTAAGATATACTTAACTCTTTCATTTTATATTCAGACAATATAGCAACATTTGTTGTATTTCATTTTCACAATTTTTTAAAAATGGAAACATTTTTTGAAAATCTGATACAAAACAATATAACAAATCACACCTCACAAAAAATTGCTACAATTTTAACTGAGCAGAAAAAAGAAAAGAATATATTCAGACAAACAAATTAGTGTTAAAAGAGGAGACAAAAGGAGACTACAAGAAATCTTTCCACTCATGAATTTAAATCTTCTCAAACTCCTCTTGTCTTAAGAGGAGTTAGAATCTCCAAAAATATTTACATTTCACAAAAATATTTAAATGCCACAATGATGAGAGAAAGTATATGTTAGATGTATTTATTAGTAGCTTCAAAATTGTAAGTTTACATACATTTGTTCACTGTGTGTTTGGTAGTATTGCCATTGAGCTGTATGAACTTTTAGGTGTTCTCACGACAGGTTGATGAAATAATGACATGTTTCTACAGAAAGATCTGCTGGAACCAATTAGGGTTATAGGCTACCCCACTCACACACACCATTTCAGCTCTTCCCACACATTCTCTACAGGATTGACATCTGGGTGTTGAGCTGGCCACAATAAAACATTCGCTTTGTTGTCTTGAAGTCACTTTGTAACCTCTGTATGCATTGTCCATATGGACAACCAATCTGAACTCAAACTTTAACTTCCTGGCTTCCTTATATGTTGCTATTATATTTCCACAGAATCTTCTATTTTATGACGTTTGCCAGTTTCTAATGTAGCAAAACAGACCAAGATCATAATAGCGTATAGGCCAACCCAAACGTTCAGTTGACCCATCAGATGTTTTCAGGGCTATGACATAGTCTGGGATTTCCATTCTTGCTTTAACAATCTGTAAACTTTTGATTTGCAAGAGATTAATAAATAAATATCTTTATTGGTTCTGAACTCAGAACCAGCTTTTATTTTTTTACATCTTTTAAAATATTTGTGTGAAAAGATTGAGCTTCTCCACCTCCTGCCTGAAAAAAAAAACAATGCTCCCAATCAAAAGCAACCAATCAGAGTGGCAACTGTGTTGAACCTCCTTTGCATTTGTATACCTTTACGGACTTTACTGGCTGTCTAATATTGAGCTAAGTGATAGCCACGAAATGTTCCCGAAGTTTCTGTGACATTCAAGTGAAGAGACAATCAGGCCTCCAGTAGGCTGAATCCATGGCTGAGCAGAAAGTGAGGTCGGAGCAGCGACAGGATGGGGCCACGCGGGGCCCCACCCAGGCAGTATGCTTCATCCACGCTGACGCCCAGGGACCGAAGTGATTTTAGGGCGCAGCAGCAGCTGTCTTTGCCACCATGTGATGTTACAAGAGTGAAACAAAGAGGGCTGTCAAACACACCAAACTTCTGCCTCATCTGGCCTAAATGAGCTAAAAAGTTCTGTTGAGACAAAAGAAGAAAATGAAATCATTTTCAACTCAGTTATCAGCAGATAACTGAATATAACATACAGTGCCTACTCACACCACCTTGTGGTTGTAATGTCAAAAAAAAAATTGAAAACGCATATTTAATTGGGGTTTTATAAGACTGACCAAAAAACCCAAAAAACCTTCCATAGTTTATCTGTGAAGACCTCAGATATTGTCAGACAAATTTAAATATATACATTTAAATTTGAGTTAGTAGTGATACAGGAAAATATGAAAAAGTGGAGTGAGTTTGAAACTTTACGAAAGGCTCTGAAAAAGACACTTGTTAATGTTTGTACCTGAGCAGATTTTTTGCTTGCTTCTGTTGAACCTATGTTGGGTTGGATGATGGCGTTCTCACAGAATAAAACTCTGAGCTGTTCTGATGGACAGGAAACCAAGTTCTTATCCAGCAGTGCTGAAGGAACACCTGGACCAATTAAAAGCACGATAACAAAATATTAATCCAAACCTAAATGATAGACCAGTTTCCAGGTTACACTGACAAATGGAAGTTTTAATGGTTGATGCTACAACAGATGCTACAGTTCGGAAATGTCTGTCACTTATTGGTAGTGTACCCTGTGTTTTAATATGGTTTCTAGAAATGACTGACAGAAGATGTCATACAAGAAAAGACTTCCTAACCGTGGTGTGTTGCCTGCAATGCTTCGTTTCCATCTATTGTCAAGAAGAGCTGAACATTATTTTGCATGAGACTCTCAATGTAGTTGTCCTCTGTTGAAAAGCAGAACCTGCTGATTTCTAGACCTACAACAGAGCAACAATAAGGCGTTAGAAAGCGAAGTCATCTGAGTGTTGCAGAGGAGATGTGGAAAGAGGAAGACTGAGGTGAGACTACCGTGATGTCTGGTGCTGTTAATGATGCTGGAATTCTGCTGCTGCTGCCAGCTATCCGTAGTGATCAAGATGACGTCAAACAGCTGATGTTCAGCTGGATTTTTCTCCAGCAGACGCTCATTCACTCTCTGCAGAACCTGAGGAAAACCAAATATCGTCACCTCCCACCAAAGCTGGACTACAATCTTCTTACTGTCAAGAAAACCAGTTGGTTTTCTTTTTAAAAACAAACACCTGTTTTGTTTTTGCTTTTTTGTCACAAACTGATGCTTGAAGAAGAAAACAGCCTCACACCCCCTTACTGCAGCCACCATGCAGTGAGTGGGTCTGAAATGCTGTTTTAGTTTCAGATTAAATGTGACAGAACCCACACACTCCAAAATAAAAAGTACACTTTCTGTCTCGTCAGCTCACAGAAAATCTTCCAAAAAGTCCTGGCGGTTCACCAAGATGTTTCTGGTAAATGTGAAATCTGTAAAAAATTACTCAGATGTGTGTGTGTGTGTGTTTTTTTTTTATGTTTTTGAGATTTGTCCTGTTTGTCGCAAATAATGAAAGACACTGACAATCCAACCTGACAGATCCTTAAGAGTGCAGAGAAGAGTGATGGAAAATACCCCTACAAAGGTGAGCAAGAAAACCTAAGGCTGTGATAGCTGGGAGGTAAACATTTTTAACAACAAAGATGTTTTTACTTTGTCACTCCAAGCTTTTTGTGTAGTATATTTTTATATTTAGAAGAGAATTTATATGTTTTCATAAAAAAAACAACACAAAAACAGTCACTACAACATCTAGAAAAGATGTTAGTAAGAAAACATAAAACTGTTGGGCACTTTTTTCCTCAAATCCATATTTGATATTTAAATGGGTGAGTATACTTGTACTGGAGACTGAAACTATTAAACTTAAATTGTTTAAAGTTAATTTCTACTGTTCATGACTTCTCACCTGAAGCAATGGAAGACCCATGCCCAACCTATAAACTGTGCTGTCATCTTCAGCTTCAGGTCCAAAAACTGCAGCAAAAGTCACAGCAACAACCACCGCCTGGTCGATATCTTTCTGCAAGAAGAAGAATCTCACTATCAGACTTAAAATATGAGATGAATCTGCTCCTCTTACTAAAGGCACAATTGCTGTTTTATGGTAGGTTTATTTCTGGGATGTGAACAGAGACAATATTAACTAGAAATACAGAAAGACAGCGCTATGTAGAAGAACAGATATTTGAACAGACACGTTTTTCCAATTTTGTAAGGTTGTAAGGTTGCCATAACAAAAATTAAAACAATTCCAATGCAGATGAAGTGCAGCTTTCTCAAGCTTCATTCAAATTATTTCTAACACCAAAGGTCTTAAGAATGGTCATTATGGAGGAGCACTGTTTATATGGCGGAGTGATGGGGGAGTGTCTGAAAGTGTAGGAGCTTCTTAAAGACGCAGAGAACAATTTCAAGGCGTCAAATTATGAAATCAAATGACTTAAAAGTTACTTACACAGCTCTTTTAAAACAACTAAAGGTAATATAGTTACTTGACTGTGCTATAAAATGTCACTGTGTGCCTGGAAAATACATAATACTCACCCCTTTAAAACAATCAGCTAAGTTATTATCTTTTTTCTCCTTTGCCCTTCTTTCTCCGAGTTTAGTTTCTCTCGTAATTCCTGTTGCAGAAGGCTAATTGTGACACATGCAAATAGCCATGTGGGCCTATTTGTAATTCTGTATTGACGCCTAGAAACACAATTCTATGAAGTGATTTGCGGCTGCAAATCAGTCTACAACAATGTACAACTTCCGCCTTTTTTCAATATACTCGGCTGTAACTGTAAAATGTGACATAGAAGAAAATATTGCAAAGGAGAAACAAAAACACAAATGATTAGAAACAATGATTAGAGCGATAACTATTTTACCATGACTCTAGCAGGGATGTGTGTTCTGCAGAGGGTAAAGTAAACGTACCTGCTTCACGTCGCTGTTCGTGACCGTAGAGACCATTCTCACACCCAGAAGGACCTTACAGTAGTTCACGTTTTCCTCTTAATTGGTCCCGCACCGCAAAAACCAAGAGTCCAGTTATTCTGCACGAAGGTCCCCTTATTTTGGTTCTGCCTGGACCCAAGGCAGCACGTTCGCTTTAAGGAGGGAGAGCGTGATACGTCACTTCCTGGTCAAAACAATTGCCTCTTGCCCCGCCCATGTCAGTGATTATTGTGTCAGGTGGAGGAGCACCGCTCTGTTATATGAACAAATACTAACAATTGGATTTGATTTCGGGGCAGAGGACGGATTCAGGTTCGGAGCGGTTCTCACACCAGTTCCTCTGGTTCGGAGAGCCTGAGAAGCGGGTCTGACCTTGTTTTTAGTGGGCTTGGAAACCCCACGAGAGAGGGAAAGTTTATTTTATCTTCGACTTTCTGGTAAGAAAAATACGTCTCTTTTTTCATACCTTTCTGCACTAACACATTTCTGTTTGAGTCGGTAACCTGTTCGGGTGTGTCCCGAACCCTGTGGACTGGCTGGGCTCCTTTAGCTCCTTCGGGATCAGATCGCTTGCAGCTGATTGGCTTTCACTAAGTTAAATAGGGGGTGGCCTTCAGGTTACATAAAGAAAGTCAGTGGGGAAAAAAAGACTCGCAAATATGTTTTTTTTTATATTAAAAATGTTTTCTTTGTCATTTTTCTCAGTTAGCTGGATCGATAATGGAGCAAAACTATTCATGAAAATATGGTGTAATACAAAGATTTCAGGAACTGCAGTTAAAGAGTAATATTTGAGCATTTTCTCTAACTTCTTGTTGTTTATAATACTTAGAAAAGAGGAGAAAAACTAATGTGCAATGATTTATGCATATGGGTAGAAATTCTGTTTATAGGTACGAAACTAAATGTATAGCAACATTTTGCAAATTAGGGGTGCAAAATGCCAAAGGGGTGACCTGACCCTGAGTCAGAGCAAAAATATTTAACTAGAGCACACGACTCCAAAGATTGACCATGGTTTCAAGACATTCTAGTTTAACACTAGCTATTAAGGAATAACACTAAGTTCACACCACCAAGCAAGATGTACATAAGAACAAGAAAATACTTTAACAGTGACTCTTTTTTTCTACTGGGGGCTAGAAAAACTTGTAATTAGTGTATGATGATCCAGTCAAAGTTTGAATCATCCATTTTTATATTTATCTAATACCAGAGCTTGACGAATGATGAAAAGCATTGAAAATACCCCCTTTTGTGATTTCACACATATAATAGAAGTTTTATAAATTCAAAGAAGAAATTTCCAGTTTACTTTTGATCAGTCTAAATATTTGAGATTCTAAGCAGGAAAATCAATTGCAATAATAACTGAATAAAAAACCTGTAACCTAGCCCTTTACTTAAGTTAGGACTAAAATCTTGAAAGCAGACTGTTTGTCCTTCGATTAGCCAGACTGCTGCCACTTAGATTATTGAAAATTAAAGGAAGCTTTTACAATGCTTTGATAACTGAGAGCTGCCTTTTCAACAAAAATATATGTAAGGCCTTTAATAAAAATGTTAAACCTTACATTTTACATTTAGTAAGTAAATATTGAAGAAAAGTTTTCACTGAAATCTACTTCAGTCTTTCCTCATGTTGAGAATCATGCATTCCTTTCACCTTGCTATAATAAAGCTGAAGTGTTATAACAATAGATGAATAGCCAAAGTAAAAATAGACTTGTTTTTGTGGTTGTGATTAAGTCTGAGTAAAGGAACTTCTCCCAGTCCTGTGGAGCAGGGCGAACCGTTTATGGCTAAGGTGGCTTTGGTATTTAGGATTGTTCTCCTTCATTCAGGTAGCGATGATACTTTCTAATTGTTGTTAATTGTTTTGTTTATGTTATTTTAGCTAGCTTTGTGAACAGTGACTCTCCCGCCCAGGAGAAGATGGATGTGTCTCTGATGAGGCGCCCTAATGCAAGTGGCAACGAGACTGTTGGAAAAGATACACTTTCCTTTTAGCTTATGGTCAAACCGTAACACAAAGGTTCTTCTAAAGTGTCAACACTATAGTGTAACAATACCACATTCAGATACTGCAAGCACAGAAGTACTCTATACTGTGTTGCAATAAATCATAATCACCATCTAAATGGGTTAATCCATTGACTTTTCTGCTGCTTATCCAGGTCAGGCCACATTAATAGAAAGCACTAAAAATGTGATATAAAATGATTAATACTGGCCTTCCAATACCATTCATTCTGTTCCACTTTGCTTTCACACCACTGAAACCAAGACAGGTGGACACTTCAACAAGAACTTTTACTTGTTTCACAAATGCATGTCTAAAGTTTGAAATCCCATTATGCTTTGGAAGTAAACATGAGGATTTCCATCAGTTTGCTAACACAGTGTTTTGAAGTCTTTCAAAGCTTCTTCAGCTAAAGCTGTGAAAGTGAAGAAGATGTGATGTTCAGCACCTTTAGTTGATGAGAAATTCTAGGTCAAGTGACAGAGTTTCAATTGTTGCAGTTCGGCAGACATTCATTTCTCGGCATAACACCGGCAGTAATGTTTTTTTTTTCTAGTCGGCATTTTCTGTATTTGACATGCATGAAAGGCCCCCTCCTGCCCACCGCTCCTTGCACCCATAGGGTTAGCTGAATCAATGACCCTCTGCATCTGTTCCATTTGTGTGACTTGTAACATTTGATCATTTTCGGCTTTAAAGTCTGTTTTTATATTGTTTTATGCGAAATCTCAAACTGGCAAACAGATCTTTTTTGCACAAAATGGAAAATGTATCGACAACAATTTGTTTGGGGTTTTTTTTATGCTGTTTTCTGTGTTCATGTGAGGGATTCTCAGTTTATGAGGGCAATTTAAACACATAAATGTTATTTTTTCCCAGTATCCCTGCAAAAGCACACCATCAATTCTGATCATCTCTTTGGACAGTGTTTAAAAAAATCTTACTCAGAAACAACAATATTGGATTCAGGAGGAAATATTCATCTGTAAGAGGTGCACCGACTAATTTAAACTCTTCTGCAGCAATTAACTCCCTTATCAAATGAAAGCACAGTTTAAGTCCTTATGTGTATAGGTCATTGTGCAGAAGAGCATGTTAGTTTAGTTGAGCTCCATCAGTTTTTCACTGTGATGCTGCAAATGTCTTTATTATTGAACTCTCTGGTGTGTATTTTGGTCTCCAAGATGCTTTCTGTGTCACAGTTTAATGGTCCAGGTACCCACACTAGTAACATCATACCAAGATCTTTCATCCAACATCTCAAAACCCCTGTTATTAATTTTTCAAATAGTTCAATATCTCATATCTATGTTCTTTATTTTGAAGTGCTTTCTTTTATTTTGAAGGAGGTTTGTTGTATTTATTTTCTTCTTGACGTTTGTCTGCTGATTTTCTGTTTACTGTTGAGACCAGTGCCACAGTCATTGATGATGTGAGTAGTGGTATTAGTCAAGTCACATGAATAATCATCACTACTGACAGAGTGGTTTATCTGCTGGTATATTTTTGTAGTTTGTTAAGGTCTGTTTTATTCTTAAAGTGGTTGATAAAAAAAAAAAAAACTATGTATCATTTAACTTAGTTTTTGAGCTTTGACCAGTTAGATTGATTTCAAGTTTTGCATCATTTAAATTGAAATAGACCTTATCAAAGAGGGAATTAATGCTGATGCTTTTTACTTTCTTTTCAATTGTTATATTTAAATTTTTTGCAAAAGTAATTTTGAACCTTTATTCATTATTTTTGTATTTTCAGGAACTGCTTCAATTTATTTACACTGTTGACATAATTCTTCAGTAAACCAAGTTCTGACTGAAGCCCTGTCATGGTCAGTTTACAAAATCCAGCAACAGAGGTCAAAATCCTCAACAGCCCCGCTGATGTGTGTTGTTGCTGAAGTTTAAGAAGTGCAGACTGATGCTAAGGCAGCACCACAAAACACAGGCAGCAGCCACCTGACTGCCCTGGGCTGGCACAGACTTATCTTGTGCAGCTGGTTGACTGGGGGGAATGCTGCTGGGTTTGGTACTGCTAGCAGTACAAACTCTGGCTCCTGCATCTCACCTTGTTGTTATTGTTCTCTGGTTTGTTTGTTTTTTTTGTTTTGTTTTTTAGTTCCAAAAACACCAGGAAGGATGGACCAATGCATAACACTAACACTGTGGTCACACTCTGTGGGTCTGTATGCATATCTGAATGTGGCTTCTGTTTAGTCTTGTTCAAGAATTAATTATTATGTCAGCCAGACCTGCTAGACAGCTCGGCTCACCACGCCTTCATTCCTTCAGACTGTAAGACAACCTTCCTCTACCTCATCAGACTGTGATGAAGTTATTTCACAGTTTTTCTGTCAATGCACTCAATTCAGTCTGAGGCCAGAGAGGAGCTGATGAAACCTTTTCTCCTCCCTCATCAAATAAAAGCACAGTTTAAGTCCTTATGTGTATAGGTCATTGTGTTGATCTGACTTTCCTTGAATGAATGGATTTCTTGGGTTGTGAATAAGACTGTCATGACATTGTCATAAACATGACATAAAACCTGTCAAGAGTAAGTCTTTATTAATATTTATGACTGTTGTCATAAAATGTTTGGTAAATCATGACAGGATGCTGACAGGCTGAAGAAGGAGTCCTATCGGGCCTCTTTGGGCTGTGGGACTCCTGAAGCAGCTGATGGGTGAAGCAGCATGCGGCTCAGGTGGTTGCAAGGCAAAAACTTGGGAGGAGTTCAGAGAGGGCATGGAGAAAGACTTCTGCCTGGCTTCGGGGCGAGTCTAGTCCACCAACCTGCGCCTCACACCAGGCCTACAACAGCAACACTGTTTACAGTGGGGATGGTGTGTTGCTGACTTCGGCACGTTGTGGTCTGGTCGGCAAAATACTTTGAAGACCTTAATGCCAATTAAAAAAATAAATAAAAAAAAAGTTCGTAGAAAATGTTTAATTCTTAAGAAATCCAATTTTTTTTTTAATTAATAAAATAGCAAAAAAATATATATATTTTAGGGGGCTCAAATTCTTTTACGGGGCTGAAATATTTTTTTGTGACCAGAATAAAGTAGTTCTGTAATTTGTTGTGAGTTCATACACTGTGTTGGTTTTGTTCTTTGAGCAAGGTGATGTTCATGCATGACTCACTTTGTGCACCAGTAAAAAAAAACATATACCTATGTCTTGAATTTGGAAAAGAAATCATATTTTACTTATCACTAAAGAACGGTTCAGTGAATGCGCATATAAAACTAGTGGGTTTGGTACCTCGAAAAAGGTTGAGAACCACGGGCTTAGAGATACCAAGTTGAAGACAAAGTTGTCCTCCTTCTGAAGCTGTCTTGTTTACCCATCCTCCTTGTTTTGGCTGCTCAGGCAATCATCATGTTCAGATAGAGATCAGAATCTGCGACAGCAAACATGCTGAGGCGTCTCGACAAAATCCGGTTTCGGGGCCAAAAACGGGAGGAGTTCCTTGACGCGACCGAGTCACCCAACACATCAGACACAGAATGCAGTGACGACGTCGTGATGAAAACACGCTTCTTGCCCAAAGAGCAAGAAGAGCTGAGGGAACCTGAGTTAGAACAGCAGATGGAAGCCCAGGTGCAGGAACTTATAACAAAACTTTTGCCTTTGAGTCAGAGAAAAAAAACTGTCATGTTATGTTGCTTATTTTGTGTTTGTTTGCCAAAGGCTGGTCCTGAATCATTTCTGGCAGGTGTCCAAGAAGAACCAAAGACTGATTTGAATGAAGTGAAAGGACTTCTAGAAATCGCTTTGTTGGAAAAACACTTCTTAAGTGAGTATTGTGCACTTCACTGAACCATACAAAAGTATTCATATTCTGAGTTTTAAATAACAGATTATTTTATTGGGATTTTTATGACACACTAGTCCAAAGTAGTTCAAAATTATAAAATGGAGGGTAAATAATCCAAAGAAATGTAAAAGTATGGCATTTGTTTGTATAAAGTACTCCTGTGCTCTGACACCCCTAAGTGAAATCCAGTGACTACAGATGGGTATGAAATGACAGATTTGGCCCTGTTGAAGGCAATATGCGCTGTAATATGTTGTAGCAGATGTACAAAGCATTGCACATCTTTTAGATTTTCATTTGTGAAAATTTTTGAAAACTGCATCAATTTCCTAACACATCACAATTATGGTGGTCTGTCACATAAACACTGTTAAAACCCCCTCTGTTTCCACCACTACCCCCAAACGGACTCTTTTGTAATGTCTTTGTAATTAGTCATCAATTAATTGAAGTATTTTACTGTTGGGCCTTAATGCACAAAGAAGAAAAAAAAAGTCAGATCTCTCTTCAAGCTGCCCAGGAATTGTTTTGTATCAATGTTGCTGCCTCAATGACCAGATCACATCACAGAAAACTCATCCCACAATACAACTGCATGCTGGATAATCTGTCAATATCTGCCTTCTTTATGTAATGCTCCAACAGCTATTTATAACACTGCATCCTCATTGTGTTTCACATTGGCATGCACAGCCACACATTACCTCTTTCTATCTTCACAAGGACTTTGAATTAATTACATTCATGTTATATTAATTTCTGTCCCTGGCCTTTATCCTAAACCTCACCATTAGCAATGCATACCTTGCCCTAAACTTAACCTTTGGTCTCCTGTGCGACACTTGGTTACAAGACTCAATACATTCAGTTTCAGAGTTTACTCAGCCCACGTTGATGTAATGTTTCTACATTGAAGAAACTTTGACGACATGTAGATTTACAATGTTCATAATAATTTGATAAGACACTTTATTTTAAAAATTATTGATAGGACCAGGCACTTACGAAAGCATGAGAATCCCAGCAGCCTCTTGGATTCATTGATAAATTGGGTGAGCAATCTTCCTGCTTCTCCTGGAAACCTGTTACTTTTATCAGGAAATGCAGCAATAGTCCATCGAACAGAACCAACCTTCTTTATCAGGTTGTTTAGCCATTTAGCCCTGGATCTTTGGAGCAAAGCCAACAGAAGAAATGACGCTCTCCACAACAGACTAATAGAAGTTATGCAGCATCATAACGGAAACCTTAAAGAATATAAGCTTCTTCAGAACAATCTGCACACAGTCTTTCAGTCTCAGATTGTGGTCATAGGTGATTGCTGAGTCCTCCACCTGTGTCTTCTGGAGTTTCTGACAAAGTAGATAAGTCTCAATTGTGTTAAATGCACTGGATAAATCAAATATCATTATCCTCACAGTGCTGCATGCTTTGTCCAGATGTCAGTGGGTTTGTTGAAGCAGGTGCATGACGGCATCTTTAACTCCATGGTGATAAGTACACTGCTGGGAGTCTTGATATGTGATTGTTTACATACTCAGGTGGGCCAACAGGAGTCACTCCTTGATGACCAGTGAGTGAATTCATTTTGGTAGCAGAACAATCTGAATAATTAACAGAACCTCTGTAATATGAAACCAAAGTACAGGCATTTTCCTGATGGTGGGTTTGTGCTGCCATTGAGCCTCTTTGCACCAAAGCATTTTAGAGTTAAAAATAATGATGTCATCCAATCGACAGCTGAAGCTTATTTCAAACAGGACATTAAGTTCCAACGCAGCAGTAAATTCACAACAAAATGGCCAAAAGAGAAAATAATCAATTTGCTACAGTGGTCCCTTTGAAGTTTAAACTTTAACCTGATTAAAATGCAGCAGGTGGACCAAATGGATGTAGAAATCAATGTTGAAAAGCCTTTAAAGAATTCCAATTTTGTAAAAAATAAATACAATTTTCCACACTTTGCAAGATTGCATACAGAAATAGAATACTAAGTTACTGCTCCTAAGTCTACAAGGTGTTGGCTCATGCAGTGTATTTAGTTTACTATAACTTGAGTTTACTCGTTTTGTAATTTGCTAGCTTCTCTGTCCGTCTCTTCCTCACATCACATAAAACTTGTTAATAAATTCTAATTGGGCAAGTTTTTTAGGAGTAGGTTTTTCTTGTCTTCATTATAACTCGTCACTCTTTCAGAGGAGGAGTTGAGGAAACTGAAGGATGAGTCCCACATAGCTTCACTGAAAGAGGAACTGGAGAAAGAGCGACGCAAACGCATTGAGCTGGAACAGAAGGTCAATGATGCCATAAAATTAGGGTGAGTTGTTTTAAAAGACTTTAAATCCAATTTTCCTTTTATTTATTCACTGACATTTTATCCATCTCCTCAGAGTTGAGGATTCTCCATCTAAGTCAAGAAAATCTCCATCCCCTCAGCCTTCTCTAAGCAGCAGTACAGGTTAGAACTCCCACTCTTTGTTTTGTCTTTTTCATATTAAGTCTGGAAAGAATCAATTACCCTATCAGTTTTTGTAATAACTTAGTCAAACTTCTTATTTTCTTAGAAAAACATAAAGAGACTCTATGCAACAACTTCTTGAAATGGCTTTACCATCGTATTGGAGTTTACATCGAAGACTTCCGCTTCCAGCCAGAAGAAACAACTGTGGAGATGGAGGAGCCACTAAGTGGAAGGAGGTAAGGAAAATGCTAGAAATGTCTGAGAGGAGCATTTAGAGTGAAAAGGTTCAAATGAAAGTTGTATTTATTTTAAATCAAAAATTGATCTGCTCTGTTGTAATTGATCCCCAGGCTGACTGAAAACATGAGACGCTTCAGTGAGTATTTGATGTTTGATCTTGTGTGTACTCTTTTCTGCAGATAATAAGAAGTATGGTAGAGTATTATTTTTGTATAGGAGAAAACATGATATGCTTGCTGAAAGATAAAAATAATAAATATTGGGACCTTTTGGGTACTTTTGGTTACATGCCCCCCCCCCAGATGCTTTGCTGTGCAACATTTTCTTTCCACAAAAATTACCAGCAAAATGGATGAGTCTGATATGCTTTTCTGCCTGACCTTGTGTTTTTAGAACAAGGGTTCAGACCCGTGACAAACTTCAAGAGGAACCTGTCTGCCTTATCCAGCTGGTACTCTGTGTACACGTCTGCCATTGCCTTCATTGTAAGTTTACACACAGACATTGTCTCCGTGTTCCACTAAGTTCTGAATTTAAGTTCAGTGAAATTACTGAAAATTCTATCAGATGCATTTTCTTTTGATATTAATCACTTATATATGGTGATATAAATTATTATTGATGTATACTCCAGCCCTACTGACACTGTATGAAAATTTGTAACCCTGTATCTGTTGTTGAAAAACTGCTAAGAACTTAATACTTTTTTATATGGAATAGAATTTGATCAAAATTAAACTGAATCCCATCTGATCGTACAGTCAGATCCATCCACATATATGCATGTACATGTGTATAAGATGTATGTGGTGCCAATGGAGGTAGAAATCCATTGGCAGTGGGTCGCCAATGGATTTCTAATCAGTGGGTCACTGGTTTGAGCCCCCGCCTTGTACGTCTCTGTTGTTGTGTCCTTGGGCTAGACACTTCATCCACCTTTCCTGCTGATGTTGGTCAGAGGGACGATGATGCTGTAAAGCAGCCTCTCTTCTCTCAGACTGCCCTGCTCTGGCTACGATCCAGTGACTTGTCGTCATCAGTGTGTGAATGTTTGCGTGAATGGAAATGACTGATTTTATTGTAAAGCGAGTTTGAGCTTTATAAGTCAGTTGTATAAGTCTTATGTCATTTCATTTAAATACCTAAGTTATACTATAACACAATAGAGTTAAAGCCAGTCAGTCGTATAATGGCAGTTGGTGAACACGGTGCATTTTCAGAAACACTGGCTGTGTTTTGACAGGTGTACATGTATGCAGCGTGGCATGGCTGGACCATCCCCATGTTCCTGTTCCTCGCAATTCTCCGCCTTTCCCTGAATTATTTCATTTCCAGGTGAGCTCCCCAGCACATTCAACCACTCTCATATTTAAAGACAGACCTTGGCAAAAAAACAACTTTGTGTTAAACTGCAAGTCGTGCTCTTATTCAGAACAGAAACTTTACTTCAGCAGTTCCGAAAGATCAAATAAAATCCTGGTTAAAAAAAAGTACTAGTTTTAGTACTGATCCTCTTGTGGTTACTGCTTTACTTTGTTTATAACCACAGAGAATTAAAAAATGAGTCTTTCCATAAGAAACTACCCAAGCACATTTAATAACTCTTAAGTATTTATTAAAGATATTTTAAATTAAGGTTAATTGCAATGTTAGCAACCAACCCTTTAAAAATGTTTTACCTTCAGTATCCTTTAGGCTCTGTGATTGTTCTTTGGTGGTTGTTAACGTTCAGTTTCAAATGGCACAATATTTACGTTGAACTATTGTGTTTTTTGTTTTGGTTTAAGTACATAAAGATTGTCAGTTGTCCAGCTATTAACCTGTTTCACACAGACATCTTTTTCCCTACACAATTAGCACAACATGCACCAGATGAACACAATCTATACCGCTATATATCTATGGCCTATGTAGAAATGCCCCAATTGCCATGGTGATGGTGCGCCGGAATTATTAGGTAATCCTGCCGCTCAATGTTGATATTGCAAGGGGATACTTCTCAGCTATTTTTGAAATATTTTTATTTTATATTTTTAAATGTTCTCTCATTGTATCTATACCTCCTTTTCCCCACAGTCATTTTTGTATGCCAATTTGCTCATGCCTTTGAAACATGCTAAATATAGATGCAAAAACAGCACCCTCTATCTAGTTCTGGTTTGATGAATCACATTTGCAAGTACTCTTCCCAGGATTTTGCATATTCTGATGATCAGCATTTCTTCTGCATATTGATGAGGCCAAACTTGCTGAATGGATTATGACTGCTATCGTGGTTATTAAGCTGACCACCATATGTATCATTACATTCAATATCATTTCAGATTTGTGTGTACATTTAGTTCATTTTGTCTTAAGAAGTGAACTATTGTTAAAGGCCAATGTCAAAATCCCATATTAAACCTGTTATTTTATCAGCCATGTGACTGCTTCCGATCCAGCCATCAGTATAATTTCAATTCTTTGTTTTTTTGTCAAACACATCTTCTTTGATATCTGAAATATACATTTTACATTCTCCTATGATAGAAACTTATGGCCTCCCATATATGCTTCTGTTAAACACCATAATGCTGTGCTACACTCACATAACCAAACAAATAACACATGGCCAATATTTGAAATAATAAATTACCTTTACATCCAATGATGTGAGAACTAACTTGTTAATCTTTTAGCCTCTCATAATGTCAGCACTATTAAACTGGAATAAGCTTGAGGTGGTTTCTTGTTTAACTCTATGCTCCCATGATAAACTCAGAGGCTGGAAGATCCAGTGGAGCATCGTACCTGAAGTGTCTGAGCCATTGGTGAGGCATCTCTCTTTACTCTAACAGGCACACTTATTATAAAAGTGTTCGTTTTTTCTCTTTACACCTACAGAAGTTGTTGATTGAATTAAAGTTGTTGAGGCTGGTTCCTGGCTCACTGCTCTTCTGTTTTCAAGGAACCTCCAAAAGAAGACTTGACTGTATCTGAGAAGTTCCAGTTGGTTCTCGATGTTGCTCAGAAAGCACAGGTGAGTGAAGATGCACTAAGAGATTGTGTAGTTCAGAACTGAAAACTCTTGTTAAAATATTTCACTCATCTCCACGTCTATCCAATCATTATGAAGCTTTGATCTGTTGATGGCAACCAATTCTAGTTTAGGGTCCATGACATAAGAAGATGTAAGAACAGCATTCAGAATATTTATGTTGCATTATGGTTTTACTAAAATAAATAGCAGAGGATACATCACACCTTGATAATATGGTTTGTCCTTTTGTTGGTTCAGTTCTTCTGAGGTCTGACAGCTGCACCTGCGTCTTCCAAATGGATGGGAATTTTTTATGGGCTGGGCGACACCACTCTTTTCAAACCCGAGTCATCAGCTGTTTCTGTAGTGTTTTCCAGAATTTGGTGAATTTTTCCCAAAGAACCTGTATGTTACTTCTGTTGTGTACCTGTATGTGTCATGGTGTAGTTTTTGAAGAACAACCCTGACTGTTTCCAAGCGAGAGAAGATGTGCCCCTTGAGTTTCAAAGAAAAAAGTCCTGAATTCCTGCAGGTGCACAAATCGTCTGCGGGTTTTATCCTTGCCTCGCCTTTTTCGTTTGGTCAGTACAGAGTTAGTCAGTGAGGTTCCCTTCACAGTCAAGTATATCGGACACAATGGCTTCAAAAATGGTGCTTCTTTACCTTGAGACTCTTGGAACCAGACAAGTTGTTTTGGTGAATTTCTGATCAGGGTTATCAATTGAGAAATGAGGGTCATGACGTCATTTTGAATGACATCATTCACAACCAAATTCAGCAGATGTGTGACACAGTACATATACTGTTCTCAGAGTTTCTGTTCCAGCACACTTGCTTGCAAATAAACTTGAGCTTTAAAAAAACAAAGCTAATTTTTCAGTCCATTTTGACTGTTGTTGTTTTTCTCACATCAACACAGAATCTTTTTGGAAAGATGGCCAACATCCTTGAAAAGATAAAAAAGTGAGTTTGTTTGCAAATGTGGTTTCAAATAAAGCTGAAGTAAAAATCATCCAATAGAGGTCTGTACTGTACTGAATGTATTTATGTGTGTTTAGTCTATTCATGTGGGTCCAGCCAGAGTTGACTCAAAAGCTCTACGTGGGACTGTGGGTGGCCTTTATCTCCTCATGCCTGTTACCTTACCAGCTGCTGGGCTTCATCATAGGTACGTTATTAGATACACAAACTAGGATCAACATTCAACAGAGACTTTCAGAAAGACTCTGAAACATATCAAACTCAAAACGCATCTGTTCAAACAAGCATTTTCACTTTTCTACACAAATTTTCTTTTTAAACATTTTAGCTTCAAATTTTATTACTTTTTTTTTTTGGTAAAGGTTACTGTATGTTACGTGAATGGTGCCTTTTTATACATCAAAATTTTTTGTGCTCTGCAAGTTTCAGAATTTCTCTGCACCACAAACTTTGAGGGTGAAGCTACACACTGTTTAATGCAGCTTCCTCATTCAAATGTGTGGCCAGAAGTTGATTCCTCTGTGTGGCTTCATAATTGATGATGAAGGAAAGAGTTGGAACATTTCTAATAGCGTTACAGGCCCATCACAATAAAAGGAGGCAGCTGGTCATTAAACTGAAACTCCTACATTTTATTTTTTCTTTGTTCACCTGTTAATACAGAGCAAACAAACTCAGTCAGAATGATCTATTATTCCTGGAGGACAACTCAAGTTGTCTTCTGAATTACCATGTTTCAGGAGAAAACATGGTGATTCAAGTTTGTACAGATCCATAGTTCCCAGTTTGCATTTCCAGCATTACAGCACACTCTTTGAATACCTTCCTCTTTCCTCAGAAATGAAACTTGCTTTCCTCCAGGATCTGGGCCATATGACCAAACAATGTGATTTATTTCATATTCTCCTCGATGGAGAAGTTGTTTACCCTGGGTTACAAAAAAATATTTTTTTGTAAAAAAAAAAAAAATCCTAATTTTCCAACCAAATTAGGATTATTTTGCACAGTTGAATCCAAAAATGACATCAAATTTTTTCAGTCAGGTCACTAAATTTATGACATTTTTGTGACATTATCAGTTCATTTCCATTGATATTTCTCATCCAAGAAAGGTTGTAAAAGAAAAATATGTACATGTAAATTGAACATTACGTCTTCATTGTGTAAAATTCTCCGTCTCTTTTCTGTCCTGATGGAATCTTTCCTCCTGCTCGTCACTCATTGATCAGATTCTCAGCAAACCGATCCAGATGAGAGAACAAGTCATGCATTTCGGTGCCCATGTTGCTCCATAGTTCAGCAAAGCCAATGTGTTTTTTTTTTTTTTAATTCAGCTCATCAAAATGACCCTGAAACGGTTGGAAAAACCCCAGATAATCTGCTGGCTGTTGACCATTTCAATATTTTTTTTCTTTTCTTTTTGTCCCTTAGGGGTTTATGCAGGTATCAAGTTCTTCATTATTGACTTTATCTTTAAAAGTTGCCCCAAACTACGGCAACGCTTTGACAGCTTCTACGTCATCTGGACCAACTTACCCACCAACCTGCAGCTGAAGGAGCGCAGCAACACTACCCTGAGCAGACGGGTCAGTCCCAAACCTAAAACACACTCACACACTCACACACACACCTCGTGGGCTGCATCCAGCCTGGTAGAGCTCAGGTAGAAACCACATCAGAGGAGGAGGAAACGGGAAGTTCACAACACACGGTTTCTTGCATGAGAAATCAGCACAGCTGCTGTCACCTCTCAGTTTGTCTTTATTCTTTCCTCTCAGCTGTCCGAGTGTGAACAGGTAGGATCTGCTGTCTCCGTGTTATACAGTCATACTATAGAGGACGGTTTTTGCTATAGGTACAGGTGTAGATCCATCAGCAGCAAACGCTTTACATCTGACGTCCTCATTGACTGTGTGTTCTTGTGAGCTGCAGGGCAGATTCACAAGTATGAGGCATAGATTGTCCTTGTAGACCTATGAAAACATTTTGAACTTTTTTACATTTTGTCATGGCATAACCACAAACAATCATAAAGTATATATTTAAAAATTCTAAAGTATGGCAAACATTTACAGTTGAAACCAGGTACACCAAATAAAAAGACACATTTTGTTTCTTGTTTTCTGAAGTTAAATCAGAGCAAACCTCTCTTAGGTTAAAATTAAAAAAATAATTTTAGAATAACCAAAATTATTTTGAATTGCTAAATTTCAGAAAACTTAACAGGGAATTTTTTTTAATGTCCATCAGTTTTTGGAACACACTGGAACCATGCAGTTCACTGCAGGGTGTTGACTTTTACTTTATAACTTAGGCTCAGTCATATAGTGAGTAAATGCAGAACATTTGAGAACATCAATCTGCAAATAATTTAGATTTTATCTGAACTTAAAGATATGCATCATTCTTTGAGCTAAACCATCCCATAGTATCGCTGGCTGAATGTTTAGGGCTGCAGCAAGTCAAACCTCCACTCCATTTTAGCCTCTAACGTCATAGGGTGGATTCACCTCCTCCATTACACTTTACCAGCACTGTTCTGGCTAAAAAAAAAAAAACAACAACCCCACAGTATCATGCTGCCATCACCATGTTAGATTGTAGCATTTGTTTTTATAGTAATGTGAGGTTTGTTTTCCTTCTCACACAATGTACACATAGTGCAAACAGTTCCACTTTGGTCTTTTATGACCAGGTCGTACGTAGCTTGTGGTAACCTGCAAACAGATCATCTTATTGTTCTTGAGTGTATCACTAGTAAGTTATATTGTACAGGACTTTTAGGGATATTGTTGTAGGACTTACACTGCACTTGGTTTTATTTAGAGGCATTATTTAGAGGGGTTGAAATTATTTTAAGTCTTTCATTTTTGTAAAGCAGGGTTGCCCAAAGTCGCCCCTCAAGGGCCGTCATCCTGCATGTTTTACTTCTCTCCCTGGTTCAATGCACCTGGATCAAATTATGGCTCATTAAAAGGCTTGAGAAGAACACTGACATGCTAAAAAGATTGTTGGTGCTACCAGGGAGAGAACTAAAACGTGCAGGATGCCGGCCTCCGAGGACTGACTTTGGGGAACCCTGTTGTAAAGGAATGGAAATTAAAACCTGGTTTTCTTCGTTTCACTTCAGAGTCCTGCATACCTTGTGAATGAAATAGGACAATAAAGTTTGTGGTTGTTATCTGACAAAAATGTGAAAAAGTTCAACGGAATTGACTTGTAGACAATTCTACTGTTGACTGTCTCCTTGCTTAGTAGATTTAGACAGCCCCGAGGATTAATGCTTAATCCTTCCAGTGACTTTTTTTTTCCCCAAAAAGGCAACTAGCAACAAACCTAGCAACTTTTTTTTGTGATATTGGAAACAACAGGTAAAAGCACCAGTTATTCCACTTCTCTGCTTTTCTCTGAGAGAGAACTGAGTGCTGCGCAAAGCCCCTCCCATCTCCTGACACAGAAAGACTGTTCAACTGCAAAAAAAAAAAAAAACCCTTTACTGGTATTTGGGGCTTAGTTACTTTTTAAATTGGTGGTTTCCTTGGGGGCCAAAGTCCTGAAACTTCTAGATGTTTTTTTTTTTTTTGTCCTACATGCTTGAATTAAATGGTGAAACTGCCTCTGTCATGTAGTCAAGTGCTACAGGCCTCTGCTAATGACCTGCCAGAGCCAGTGAGCTGAAGCAGAGAGACATCTCTTGTTGGGTTGCAGGAAACCTACCAATGAGGATTGGAGTTTGAGGTTTCTGCCTTAAACTGTATTCTTTTCTTCCTTACCCTCTAGATAATCTTTTTTTTTTTTTTGTCTATTTCAAAATATGTTACCCATGCAAAAGTTCTACATTCCATTAAAATTCCCAATTAATCCTTGTGTCATTAAAACATAATTGAAGTTTATTATTTTTAAAAGTTTTTAATTGATTTGTAAATATTTGAGAATTAAGCTGCTAAATTAGAAATGACCAAGATAGATGAATCATCTGTTCAGTAAAGGGTTGCTAGAGGCAACCACAGACGTGTCTCCACGGTGACGTTCATCAGCGAGGGATCTTGAGGTGTTCTCAGTCCAGATCGGACAGAAATCCCTCCAGGGAGTTTCAGGTCCTCGAGAATCAATCAATATTGATTTCTTTAAATGTAGCAAATTAAATAAATCCTTAGAGTACTGAAACTTTAATTTGAACAAAGACTGAAAAGAGTAGTTTGTGGTTTTTAAGCTGGTTTATATCTCATACCTTTGTGCTAATGTCCTGCTAGAAATTAGCAAAAAAGTTGCTAACTTTCGCTTGAATCAACATGTTTAAATTGATAACTGGTAACAAAAAAAGTTTTCCCCACTCCAAACTGTAGGTCTTTTTCTGACATAACAAAATACTCTGCAATTTTTCTAACCCTTATATCAGAAACATGTCTGGTGAGTTCTAACTCACACTCACACACACACTCACACACACAGTGTGGTAAGAAAGTTGGAAGACGCAAAAAAATGACAGAAATGATCATAGAAACGACACCATGCTAATTTATTTCCCCCAATCATCCTCCTGTCCAGGTTGCCCCAGCAGGGGGCCGAGGGAGCGTTTGTAATGCTGCTCCTCTCGGTACCAGCAGAGAAGATGATGGCGGCCGATACTTCAGCACAAAGAAAGGAGCTTTTCACGAGGTTTTCAGCCTTCCAGAGAGTGAGCGCCCTCTGCCAGGTCAGACTAGGAACAGCTGCAGTCCTTCACACTGTTTTTATTGAATTCTGGCTGTTCAGCTCCACATTTATTAGTAGAGCAGACACTATTAATCGGCTTTCAGGAGATTTGTAATTACTGCTTCATCTCTCAGTGTGTGAGAACGGCTGGCGCTGCTGCCTAATCAATAGAGACAGGAAGACACCAACAGACTACATCCGTCACGGAGTCCTGTATGTTACAGAGAAGTAAGCCACCCCCTCTCGTTTGAGTCACTCACATATCTCTTACTGTTTTCATATGGTTATTCATCAATATGATTTTTAACCTTTGTGTAATCAAACACAAACAACAAATCTGACCATTTCATCTGAGAATTTGACAGAAATTATCAGGTTTTTGTTGAAAAATGTTTTTCTTGGTGTCCTCTGAATTTATAGCCACTTGTGTTTCGAGAGCTCCAGCTCAAGATCTGGTTCTTCAAAGAGGAATAAAGTCATCAAACTGACTGACATCACTGACATCCAGAAAGTAGGTGTTTGTTAAAGGTGACTGATAATTGTTGCTTCTTCTCCTTTTGTTGCTTGTGGAGTTCCATTATTGCAAGAAGTAAAGAAAATCTGTTCAGTCTTAAGCTGGTAAATATTCTTAAGACTATTTACGGCCCACAGCTCAGATGCAACTCAGAAATAAAAAATTAAACAAATTCTTCAAAAGTTGTCACAGCATTTCTACGATTACATTTTAGAATAAATTCATTTATCTGACAGGTAAACTAAACAGACTGTTTTGTAAATCGCAGAAAAAGAGTAAACGTGTCGTTTTATGTTTTTCCACACAGTATAAGGCTTTGTCAGTGCTACCTGGATCGGGGATGGGGATCTCCATAGCAACACCTGCCACCCAAAAGGTATGAGTGCAAATGGTTTGAACAAACTGATAGTTTTTGATCAATCATATAGTTTAGAAAACTCGAGGCGTCTTCGCTAAGGTGACTGTTGTCTAAGTTAGGTAAATACTGGAATTACATCACACACTACTGGTGACACAGGGGCACAGAATGCAAATGAACATATTTATGCCAAAACAAATTATTTTTGTTAAGAATTCTGAAAACAACCTTCCACTTCACAATGATGCACTGCTTTATGCTAGTGTGTCACATAAACTCCTGATAAAATGCAGGTTTGGATGCTTCTCTAAGGCTCTTTATCAATTTGATTGTTTTACTCTCTTTAAAATAATTGCTAAAAAAAGCTTTAAAAATACATCCACAATGTAAGATGTTCATTACAGATGCGGCTGACGAAAATATAGTATACGATGCGTTGTTTTTAGTTATGCCAGTTTGAAAAGAAAATGTAAGAAAAGAAAACATAATCTGATGCTCTTGTCTTGCCTGTTTCTTTGCAGCCGATGGTGTTTGGTGCCATGATGCACAGAGATGAGGCATATGATGCCATCTCCTCCCAGCACACAAAAATGGTTGAAAAGGATCGAGCCAAAGATCCAGAGACGTAGACCCAGAGACGTGTGCAAGATCGTCCTCAACACATTTTTAAGAATCTGGGTCGCTGTCCTTCACATCATGTTTTTAAAGCAGTACAGCAGTTCCCGGCTGTTGGGGGTGATCCACTGTCTGTCCTGTCTGGATCAGCAGAACCTCGTCTTTTGTCTGCATATTGCAAGAAGGCATTCTTAATGCACGAGAACGGTTTCCTTATTCAACAGTGATTTTTACATTTTTTTAAAAAACATATTCTGTCCTCTTGGTTAGACTTCTGGTCTGTTTATATTCACATTCAGGGCAATGTAAATACTTTAAATTAGGGATTTTTTTTCTCCCTTTTTAGGAGAATGGATTTAGTTGGAGGTGTCATAGTGTACTAGCCACCCAGTTTGACACCTTTACAGGTTCACGATTACGTTTTAGCCAATGTTTCTCGTCATGTCCATCCTAGGAGATATTTTTAGTTCAGATACCAGGAGGATTTCTATGTTTTATCTGCTTTAAAATCCACTGCCTCAGCAGAACCAGCCTGCTGGGTCTGCTCCAGTCATCCGTTTACAGAGCTGCTCAATAAACAAAAGGTTGAAATGGGTACAGGTACATGTCAACATTTGGCTCAGTAAATATATTTGTAATATTTTTGTTGAGATGAAATTCATACAAGATTCAGTTTATTTCAGCTTGTTTAAATAGTTTCCCAACAAGTATTTTCTCAAAGCACTTTGCAAAAGAGGTAAAATCACCCTCAACATTGAGATGGATTCAAATTTGATCATAGTTATTAAACAATGCTGTCAGGTTCAGGTTATGTTTTAAGCTGGTCAAAAGTTTTCTGCCTGGGGAAACCTGACTTCATTCATTCACAATGAATGAAGGATGAATTGAGAAATGTACTGGAACTTCCTCGATAAGGATCTGAAGATTAAATTATTTGGGATTTCCAAGAAACACACCAAGTCAAACCCAGAGAAATTTTATGTCAGTACATTAGGAACATTTTTACTGAGAAAAAAAAAAACACTTGTATCAAATCACAGTTGCCATCACAATATGAATGTGTGCCATGATGCAGTCCCAAAGCGCTGCTTAAATTCCATATTTAGGAGGCTATACTATTTTACGTGTTTAGAATATGTGCTCCACAAACCCCTTAATAGATTCACCCTGAAGAACATTCACTACTGCTGGCACAAACGGCTGATGGAAAATGCATTCATAAAATGATGTTTACAGCAGACATTGTCAGAGGAAACAAATTAATCATAACCAATATTCACCAATATTACAATTAAGGAAAATATTTTTGTTGGCATCAATTAGCACTAAGACGGGCTCAAACGTCATTATATGTTGATTCAGCCTGTGACATGATACTCGTCTGTATTGTAGTGTGAAAGCTCACCCATAAAGGAAGTCCATGTATTTTAAAGTGAGGTTTATAACTGTATTCTGAGCTGGTGTTTTCTGTGCAAGTCAGTCAATTTATGTTTTTTGTGGTACTAGATAGAAAACCTTAAAAGAAATCCTGTTTTACACAGGAAATACATGGCATAGGCTGTATTTAGATTTTTATTTGTGAAAATATAAAATACGGTAGTTAAGTTGTCTAAAAAAATTAGCTTGTTTTTGTTCCCTTGATTTAATTTTGGAGTTCTTAAAAGGCAGGAGGTCTCGGTGTTTTTCTGCTCATATTTTAAGTTGTTTTAACTAAAGCCGTGTTCGTTTCTAAATGTTCCGTTTTAACATTTATCAGATTTTTTTTAACTGTAATCCTAATTTGGCAGATTTATATACATATGGACTCATGTAAAGAAGTAAGAATTTGATATGAGGACGTTGTAACAATGACCTGATTTTCACCAGGTTGAGGTTTAAGCAGATTCCACATGTCAAATAAAATGGAAGCAGAAAAAGAAAAGCTGCTTTTGAAAAACTAAGTACAGATTAGATGCATCACTTTGCAGCGGTCATCATTTTTATCAGTCTCTGCAGAAGTATTTCACTCCACTCTTCAGCAGGATGATATTGTTTCTGCTGTTTGTGCTGAACTTGTTCATTCTTTTTCTTACTGCTCCATTTCTAGAAACATTTAAGTTAACATCAGTTAACTTAAATGTTAACTAATGTTAACATTTAACATCTGAATTCTGCAGAGTCTGAATTTGAAGCCTTTAGGTTTTTGCAGCTTTTGCAGAGGACTGCTCAAACCTCAGGAGTTAATAATGCACTGGAATCCATTTTGGGCAGATTCTTGTGGTCTGTGTGACATTCTTGCTACTCTTGGCTTTTCATGGTTTGGCTTTTCATTTGGACACGCTGTGTCACTGGGTACAATATATTGAAATGTGCATGTTCTACTTTTGTGTCCACATTGTTAAAAAATGTTTGGATTCATAAAGGACGTAATAATCCAAAATAATCAGTTGTTATTCGTGGATGCTCACATTATCTGTATAATCTTAATCTTCAACTTTTATAGCAGTGTTACCTCATGTACCAGTTCATTTTTCTGACCTCCTGAAACATAACTTAAAGAGGTTATAGTTTTCTTAATCAAGACTCTGTGTCACCCATAATACTCCTTAGGTTGAATTGTAAATAGGAATAGAAAACTTATTTTTTTTTTTTTTTAGCTGTTTTATCTTTAATCTGAAGTGGTAGGATGTCTTTACAGAGGACTGATTTGAACATTTGATCATGTTCTTTTGTTCTACATGATTACATATACACAAGAATTAATTTTAAATATATAGGTTAGATCACAAAATGTGTGCAGTACAACTTTAAATAAAACAATCTTCTCAGTATACTGGGTTGTGTAGGTTAGATAATCTAATCAGAAGTAACTAATAAAAAAAAACAGCTATTTGGTTTTTATTATTAAAATCACTGGCAATAAGAAATGTAAATTGTTCATTCTGACAAAGTTTTTATGTATTGTTTTGTATCTATGGACAACTTTTTAAATGTGTACCAATGAAACAGCGCCTCCTACAGTTGCATAATGTCATGTTTATTAGTGGGTTCATCTGTGAAAATGAAAAAAAAAAAAACACATTTGAGAGAGAAGGGAGAAGAGTTCTCACTCTGGAGACTCGGTCATTGATGAAAACATGAGAATATTAAGCTAAGGCAAAAGTTTTGTTCAATATTTATGTTTTAAAATAATAAGAATGTTTCCGGTCTTTTTGCTCCCGGTTCCTGATAAGATGTGATTACATGACATACATGAATCAGTGCATTTCTATGCCTCATGTCTGGTTTTCTTGATCAAAATTTGGTTTTTCTTTCTGTTAGTTTTAAGTTCCCTTGTTTTCTAGGTAAAAAAAGAAAATTCTCAGATGCCAGTTTTTACTTGAATGCCTTGTTGCCTCGTTGAGACATTATTCTCAGACTTCCTGGTTTAGTGTTAAAACTTACCGCACTTTTTTTGTGTGCTGTAGACTTTTAATATTGTTTATAATATAAACTTCTGCAAACGTGTTTGTCTGGTGGTTTGGAGTTTTATATGTTGTAATGATTGAAACTGAGTGACATTTTGTAATGGATCTGCAATCTCTGTGGTAAAAACTTGGATATTTTTTGTATTTAAGTAAAAATGGAAATTCTGCAAACACTGTGTGCTGCTGCGTGTTTGTGATGCAACGGAAATATGCCCATTAATATAAATCAATTTGACTCGGAATGATTTCCAATTTAATAATGTATACTGTCAGCAGGTTAAAGGAACTGCCATGAGTAAAAGGTTTGCATTTGCATTTGCAAATATTTTTATGGCTGAAGGGAAAATACTGCAATGGATTTCTTAGATAATGCAACTTTTAAAGGTCCAAGTATCATCACAGCATTCCAACTGGATGTTAAAGTTTATTTCAAAAGTACCGATACACATACACTGTTATTTAAATCACGTTTTCATCCAATGCACATGTTTGCTGTGTTATCCAGGTCGACCAAAAAGGTTTAAAAGAACGTCCACACCAGAATAATATTTTTATTTATTTATTTATTTTTGAGTCAATTAGAATTTTTTTTTTTTGCGTCTTCATCCACCAGAGGGCAGCAGAGATTCTTGAGATGCTTGAAGTCCAAAATCAGCTGGTGAATTTGTGGCAGTTCCTTTACTCAGTACTTCCTCACCTGCTGATATTAATCTGGTTAAATGTATCAGAAAGGATTTGGCAGAGTTTTAAACGGTTACTTTTAAAGCTGAAACACAGGAAGAGTAGAGCTGATTAAAAGAGGAAGAAAAACCTCAAGGGCTACCTTGTGCATGCAAAGGTCAGGTCAGACCAACAGCCTGGGATCACTGGTTTAAAACCAGTCATATCCCCATTAATACTGGTCTACAAACACAAAATGTTGTTTATTAAATAACGTGTGAATTTTGTCAAATGAGGTTTGTGGATGACACGTAAAGTACTTTTGCGGGCTAGACTTACTTTACATGCAAAAAATGTGTTGCATAAAAAGTTGAGGAAACCACACATTTCATAAAATCAATAATTTATTGTACATAGTTCAGACTCATAAGGGTTTTGCAGTATAATCCCTCCTGGACCATGGCCCAGAGAAGGAAGGTTCCTAAAATCTGATTGATAAAGACTTGAAATAAGATCAGGTTGAATGATGTGTGAATATTGGAATTTGGCAGTAGGCGCCATGCAAAATGTACTTTTACATTTTGATTTCAGCTTTAACCCTTATGGTAAAAATTTCTCTAGTGATTTTGTCGTGTATATAAATCGTTCCGATGCTAAGCTGAGCAAAACTCCTGAGCTTCTGCTTCAGTCCCATCAAAGAATGATTACAATATCTGACATTTACACAATGATAGTTTTCCGGTTGTAAACATAACGGTAGCGGTTTTAGACAGGTGGACAGACTGATTAACAGTTAACTGGATGATAAGTCAATGTACATTTTAACATGGGTGGTTGCTGTTATTAGCTCATGTTTCAGCCATTCTCACAAATGAAAGTCAAGCTTATCATCATCATCCTCAGAATCATCTGCTGGATCATCAAACTTAACACCAAGACCACTATCCAGATCCGTTTCAGCAAACAAGACTTTTGGTGATTTTCGCTGCAAATGATTATCTTCGTCTTCTCTGCTGTCGGACGATGGCCCCTCATCTTCATCATCACTGTGTTCGTTTCGATTTTCTGGGATGATAACCACTTCCTCCTTTGCATTAGGATCAATGTCCTCTTTAAACCAGACAGACTTGTATCCTTCCTCCACTCGCCTTTCTTTGGTCAGGATGGGTTTCACCTCTTTTTCATTGTCTGCCCGATCTGAGCCGCTGTCACTGGCGTTGTCAGAAAATCGGGTCCGTGGTTGTGCTGAAGAGCTCTGGCTCATTTCTTCGGAGTGACTGTTCTCTACTGGCTTTGGTGGATGCCAGCTAGTTGATACACTTCTTCCCTGTGGACCACCAGAGCCTGTGCTACTTCTGTCATCGTCATTGTTTTGGAAAGCCTCATTTGTGTATTGAATTCCCTCTTTTTGATTGGCTTGACCCAGCTGTGCGAAGACAAAATAGGAAAAGAAGAGTTGAATCCCTTCACATCAGCCTTTTTGTTTGTGAGCAAGTGACTTTTACTCATGATGCCACTAAAAATGTTCTCCTTGTTTTGTTTTTTTGTTTGTAAAACATGTTTCAGTGGGCGGGTCATGCTGAAGGGATCATATTATTTACATGTCACCATCACAAAATACAATGAATAGGATGTCTGGACTGGAATAGTTTAATAGGTTATGTGTGAGTATTGAGGTGTGTGTGTGCTCAATATTATCAGGAAGCAACCTCCAGCAATCATGAGCTTCACCTGTCACTCTTCTGAAGACAACCTAAGATAGAACGCATTGGGTTTTGGTACCAAAAAGTACCAAAATACTTTTTGGTACCAAAACCCAATGTGCCTCAAAGAAAGCTCAACAAAGATCTCTAGTTGGTTCCTTGCTTTAGCAGTGCTCTTGCCCTGCTGCTCTTAGGTGTTTTTTTATGCTTTGTTTTTACTTACAGAGCTCCGAAACATGCTGGCCTCTTGGATCTTCTTCCAGGCTGTATTTCCCCTCCTGATGCGATAAACAAGCAACCCGATGACCAGCACACACAGAAACAAAAGAACTCCCAAGGTTGCCCCCAATGCAGCCATGTCCACAATTCCAAACCCACCAGCTGGTCCCACTGCGACAAAAGAAAAGAAAAACATTACAAAGATTTTCTTATTTATTTGTTTGAAAATAAATGTATTTGTGATCAGTGAGATGCGAACCATGTTTTAATTGTGATTACTTGTGTTTAAAACGAACAGAAGACATGGACTAGCAACAAAATGAGTAATAACTCTGTCTTTACACTGGCCTGAACTATCCAACTGTGACTTTATTAAAAAACTGTGTTCTGTGATTGGTTTGCTTTTGATGCCAACAAGACTGTTGTTTGTCCAAGATGAAGGACATTGACTTGAACAAGAAATGGGACCCGATTTCATTTATGTTGGGGCAACGACACCCTGAAAGGATCATCTGTCAACCTTCCAGGTTTCTGCAAAGTTCCCTGTTTTTCTTGTGACGCCTGCTGTTGAGACAAACGTTACCACCTGGGCGAGCTGTGCTTGCGGTTGAGACTCCGTCAGTGGGCCTAGTGGTGAAGATGGTGCCAGTTGACAGAGTGGAGTTACTGGTGGTCATGGTCTCTTTGGTCGTCACACTATCAGAGGTGGATTTCTCTATGGCTGTTGTGGTCATTGAGCCTGTAGTGCTCTGAGGCAAAGTGGTGGTAGAGAGACCTGAGAGGAGAACACACTTAGAGGCGTATTTATTTCAATGCTTCACCATGGAATAAAGTATTTTTGATATGCTCTGAGAAAAACGTGGATTTCAGATAAAAAATAAATAAATAAAAAAAAATCCCAAATGAACCTAACAATACCGATGTGCTGAAAGTCATTGACAGCAGTGCCAGTCAAATAATATTATAAGAAAAAATGTAAACGTCCATACAGTGACATAGTCTGAACACATCTGTAAGGACAGATTGTTATGAGGGCAGACCAATCACAGAACATACCACAGTGAATGTGACCAAACAAATGTCAAACATTCCCTCTGTGTCTTTAAAATTAAAGAAAAACTCTTGTAGCAAGAATTTTTGGGAATATTCACAATGAGCCAATCAAAACCCTAAGTGAAATGCTTTATTAGACGGTGTTTAGACCTACTTGATGTGAGTTCAACTCGGAGCGCTGCAGTAGCTGTTTCATCATTAGAAGTGTCTGTTGCCACAACCTGGAACATATGATTGGAGTTGAGCAGCCAATACAAAGTGATCCCAGTCAGCCTGGTCAGCATCCAACTTCCCTTAACATTACCTGGAGTGATACTGAGCTCTCTGGCAGATCTTTGGTCAAGAACAGATAGCCACCAATAATAACAAAGTCACTGCTACCTTTGACTGAGTAGGTGATGTTGGGGTTTATTCCCTGTTTGAAGAGATTGCAAAGATGTGTCAAAACATTTATTACCTTTATGGTGATGTCTGAGAAATTAGGAGATGAATAAAAGATGAGGAATTTGAACGAAGCCCTGTTTAGGGAATATGCTGATTGTTCATAGACATTAGGTCTTGCAGTGTTTCAGGAGCTGCCATCTTTTCAGAAAGGCATCCCAGGGTTGAAGAAAAGTTTCAAAATGCATTTTTGTGTAGAACGTTTTGTGATGTCATAGCTTCACTTTGAACGTTTTATGTGCATCCTGCATGAGCGGTGAATCTCTGCGGCTGCATTACAGCGCCCCATTGAACCCCATGGAATCATTTCATAAACATGGAAATGATTCCATGTTTATGAAGAACAATTATAGATAAAAAAAAGTTTTGAAAAAATGTTGATGTTTAAGAGGTCTTTACAAGAATTTCAAGTTTTTACATGAAATCCACAAACTGTGTTTCCAAAGCAACAAAGAAAAACATCACATTTCTATAAGGAAGAATTAAAACTGAAATAGTAATATATATCAGTTGATGCCCAAATCATAATGTTTTCTCTCCATTATAGTTTGTCATCATGAGTTCTCATGTTGTCCACCTCACCCAGAAGGAGTATTGAAATGATTTACCCCAGCGCCAATGTAGTCCTCATCTGTGGCTATGATGTGTAAAGGCTGATCCTTGTTGGTCAGGTCCAATGCCATAGATCCCACTGAAGTGATCAGACCTTCATATTGAGGCTTCTGAAACTCTGGAGCATGAAGGCTCTTCACTAGGACCCTGATCGTCACTGTGGTGGTTGCAAACTGATGAGTGTTTTTCGACTGAGCAGCCTAATGGAGAAACACATTCTTTGTTGAAGTTGAAATTCAATTTCATTGCAAAAAATAGATTCATGGAAATAATAGAACTGTGTGTTATGAAAGTTGACTTTGTGCAGTGGGAGAAACTTAAAAAATAAATAAATAAATCATCTCAGCTTCCTAAAGTGACTATGGTTTTAAGGGAGTAACAGAACTGAGAGCCAAAGCTAATTTAGTATCAACTACATTTTAATTAATTCATTTAAAATGGACCTTCTGGTCAAAAAGCCAGTAAGACAAATGAAACCTAATG